GCATAGTGTATAGTTATGCCAATGCAAATAATGTAAGCTAGTGGTCTCGAGCGTGTTGAATGCAGCTAGGATTGTGCATGTAATTCCGAAGATTTCCAAGGCTACTACTGAAAGTGGAAGTCAGAATGAATTATTTATACTAAGGAATAAGATATGTGGATGCATTGATGGAGATGTTGAAAGCTCATGAATATGGAAGTAGAGCCTTCAAGGACTTCTCTAATCAAAGCTAAATTTTGAAACGGAAAACTTTTTTCATTATTTTGTGCTACAAAAAATTATCTTGAGACCTGCGAATTTTAACACAGGGATGTGATTTATCCCCACTTCCTTAACTCTGCCGTTAAAATTAATCTTGGGAATGGCTAAAAAGTCGGTTGAAATATCTTGAGAATGGCTTTATGGAAAACGAAAAATTGGGAACTATTGAGCTGAGCGAATAGGTCATAATTGTAGCATTGACTTGGAATGTGCTAGTATGGAAGAGAGCCCTTTTCAGTTGATGTTTGACCACGCACACTGTTTCTGTTCATAGGATCACTTCAATGTCGCAGACTTGTTTGTTGAAGATGAAACGTATGTTTCAAGAATGGATGAATGTCGTGGGAGAAGTAAATCTCACTCAAGGGGAATTTAGAACGAATCAAAGAAACAAACCTGCGTTGCCTTCGCTCATACGAATTGCCATGAAACAAATGCGCATCTGCAGTACCGTTATCAATGAGCTTGCGCTAAAGCGATCCGAGGAACTTACTTGGATCCCAGTTGTCTCTTCTGAATTTTTGATCACTTTGAAGGAATTACTGCAGCAGGACACGCCTGGTGAGAAACGAAGAATTTATTTTTGAACACACCTTGAATTTGACGAAAGTTTGCGGCCGCATTCTTCCTGAAACCAGAATCATTGAATTGAAGATTCAGCGTTGTATTTCAGAAAAAAAAAATCAAAATTTCAGAACGAAATTATGAATCAAAATACTGTGGTATACTGTGGAAATGTTGCATTTTCTAAAATTTTGCGAAGAAAGACTGAACCCGTGGATTATGATTTTGTTATTTTTCTTCTTAACTGCCAAAATATGCCAGCATCGCAATCTCAGGTTTCGCAAGTTGATCTCTTGTCTCAAGCCGTCACGCAACTGAATTCTGTTCGACCCCTTGCGAGACGTTTTGACTTGGACCCTAGCGAAGATAGCAGTGTAGGTGGATTGAAAACATACGTTGTGGAAGTTCTGTCTTCCCTTGACGCATTGATGACTGAGGAAAGCCATGGAGAATCTTTTCGGCACCTTAAGCAGGCGTTGGACAACGTTGATGCGTTCCAGGCCTCGTTGGATGATACTTATGCCAAGTTGCAATTGGTCAGTTTTTCTTCGGTTATTCTCAGCTGCCCAGGGAAAATAATCGTTGAGAACTTTTCCTCTCCTGAGATTGCAAACGGGAAAATTGAATCAATCTTCCCTTCTTGAATTATTGTGCATCTAAAATATTTTCGGTGATCAGTCTTTCTAGTAATAATCGATGATCGTTTTGGCCCGCTAATTTTTTTTCTGAAAAATCTCCTGTCGGAATTCAATGTTCCACATTGAGTATACCGAGTGAGATGGAAACTCCTTCGTGAGGACCTGCAATTTTTAAATGTGTGGCTTTCGTGCTGCAGTGCCACATTTTGCTTGTTTGATCGCTGTTCAGTTCTAGATTTAATGCTCAAATATATTCTTTTCTTTGCAGTTTTTTCGAAGTGCAATGAGAAGATTGCGCACCTGTCACTGGAATGCAGAGAAATGTGAGACGCTGGTGTTAACGCTAAAGGAAGCCTGTACAACATTTTGTGGCGATTATTATGACAGTCTTGCAATGCGAATGGTTAGTCGATATTTGCTGTGGAAGGCGGAGGGTCATAGTTTCATGCAACTGTCGGTTTTTAAAGTAGGATTGATTTCTAAAAATTTATATTTCCCACAGTTGTCCATTTTAATTGAGCGATTGACGCATACAAGAAAGGAATGGCTCTCTGTGGTTGCTTCGGAAACCTTCCGGAAAATCGTTCGCATTTTGATCCAAGACGCCAACACTGGATGCTATACGTGGGAATGTGTCGAGAACCTGATCAAGTCGGGTGTAAACCTTTACAGGGTGATTTTTCCGAGTTCATTGAGATCTTTTCGCAATTTCTGGGGTTCGGATTTGAACGAAGAAGTTCAAATGCTTTGGTACTAAAATAGAGTAGCGAGTTCGAGGCATGGTTCAACAGTTTTGGCGGAACCTTGAGGAAACGTCCTTTCATTTTCAACCCTAATTTCTTGAACTTGCTCTCCAAGCTACATTTGATTTCCTGGTCATTTGAACGATTTTTTCGCTCTAAGAATGCCAGAAAATTCATAGACCATACAAATTTGGAGGAGAATTAATCTTTTGAACGTGATCAAGTAGGTTTTCAACTTCCTGCGTTTTGATGCAACAAAAATATGAATAGACAAGAAATCAAAAATACTCATCTTTCATGAATTTCGTAACTTCTAGCATGACCTTCAGAAGGGGAGCGTAAGTCTGTTAGAACGTTTGAACCAACCCTTGAAGTTACACATTTTTAAACCTAATTTGATGACATTTTCTGGCATGCAGCTCTTGCTTGGTTTGAAATTGTTGACGCACATTGTCGGTGAAATATCTTGGCGTTTTAATTTTTTGGTTGCAGATTGACGTCGAGAAGCAGGAAGAATCGCCTGAATTCTTAGAAGCTTTGAAGGCCCTCTTCAGAGTGACCTTTGATGAAGCAACGGAATCCGTGGAAATCAAACGCAGAATAGTTCAAATGCTAGCCTTTCGAGAAGTCACTCGATTCTTCGCCCCGAAATTATCGAAAGAACGCTGGACCGAACTGTTCGATTTTTTGTTGTCCCAATTGCATCAAGTAGCTGGATTGACCATGAGAGAAGACGTGGCCTCAACAGCCAAAACCGATTGGCTCAACGTTCAAAATCAGACCATCATTGCTGGGTACAGTGGATTGATGCGAGTCAGCCCTGCCTTCCGTGCTTCGTGTCTCGTGGAACTACTTGCTTGGTGTTCCGATCATCCAGAATTCATCGGTGAGGAAATTTGAGTCCTACTAAATCGATATTTTGAGTCTGAGATCTTCTGGGTTGATATGAACGAGGGTCGACCGTTTTCCCGCAAAGACGCAACGGAAACAAGTGTTTCTAAACAGTAGCCCCAACCTTTTCCAAATATTGTATATATTTAATGGTTCTGCGAGAATAAGACAAAATATTTGGAATACAGTACTTCAATTTTTAAATCGAGAAAACAGAGAAATATGTTCAAATTGATGGAGACTACTTATAAAGTATGTCGAAAAATAATCAGATGAGGAATGGAATATGAACTCCTGAAGCTTTTTTTTCTTCACACTGTGTGGAAATTATTACTCCTAACTGATCAGTGGAAGTTATGCGGAATCCGCTGATGTACTCTCGTGTTTCTTAATATTTTCAGTTGACGTTGAGGTGAACCTCGATTTGCTAGTCGGAGAACTTCATTACAGGTCTCGTCGTGGATTCACCGACGCGTATGTTCCACAAATTGTCGACTTATGGCGTGGAAGAAAGCGAAGGGCATTACTTTCTATTCCTGTAACACTCATCGGATTTACTTCTGTGAAAGAATTCATTCTTCGCTACTCCTGTGAAATCGTCCCCACGCTGTGCCAAGAGAATGCGGAAACCGAATTGACGAGAATTGCAGATCTATCGGGAATGCAAGTTGAGGAAGTCCTTTCTGTGAGTCACGCACTTCAAGTTACCTAAAAGTTTGAAGTTCACTTATTGACGTATATTTCTGTTCATCACAGGAGAATTTTTCGCATCTGTACGTGAAATACCTTTTGCAGAAGCATGGTCATCGAAGCAATAATGAATATGTCGTGAGTATTCATTTTCATATCTTTCCAGTTTTAGCTCGAAAAACGAATTTTGGTATGTTGAAATTTTTTAAGGATTTTATTAACGCGATAACTTTGAAATGAACTTGGCTTGTAATTCAATCGGTTTCCTTTTTTTAGTTTGCTTTGGATCTGACGCTGAAGTCAGATGAAGTTCGAAGTACTGTGTCTAGAATAGACAGACTGAAGGCTTCTGTTATCGCCATCGTGGCTTCTCTGTATCGATGTCAAGACGTCTTGCCTGATGAGACGGTTCCACATTTGGATGCTCGCCACTTTCCAGCTGAAAGCAGCGGATCTGTTTCCGGTTCGCTGATTTTACAGTGTTTGCAGAAATTGAATTCTGATCTGAAACTGGATGCGAAGCGAACATTCTTGGAAAATTTGTCACTCCAATCGCCGAGTGAAGTTTTAAGTGAGTATAAGCGATTCATTCTTGGCGTTATTTCAAGAATCAAGGGTTATCTGACGAAAATAAAATTTATCCTTTCAATGCATTTATTCGTTTTTTTTTTTTTTAGAAATTGTTAGTAAACTCTACGACGATTTGCTGGCAAGTGAAGGCAGTTGGGAGCGATTCTTGAGAAGCAAAAGATTGTTGAGTCTGATGGACCAAGTTTCGATCCAGAACCTGCAAACAGGGAAATCTTCTGCCCTGATTTCACAAGTATTCCAGTCCATATTGAAGCATGCCATGAAGCGATGCCTTCCTTCGTCGACTCTCGATTCGTTTGATGAAAAGACGAAAGAAATTATAAAGGCTATGCTTTACAAGCTGTGTCCGGTCGAAGAACAAGCTTTTCTTATTGAGGCTGATATTTTCAATAATTGCGAAAAGTTTGGAGCGGCGTTGAACGTTTTTTTGGATAAACCATTAAATCACACCGCTCTGGAACAGTTGCATGATCAGCTTATAATGCCTGGAAAAGATGCGTTGAAAGCTTTGTATTCGAGGCTTAGAACAGGCGGAGGAGTATTTTCTGAAGAAGCTGGTGTACTGCAGAAGTTGGTGAAGATTCTGGCTAGTTTCTTGGCAACAGCTCCTGACGATCAGGTAAAACATCTTTATCATGCATGATGTATTTTTATTATCCGTTTGTTATTTAGAATCCTTTTAAGGGAAAGAGTGATGTCGAATATCTTTGCAGGCCAAGCTGCTGGCGGCTCGTTGCTTGGGAACTCTGGGACCATGTGATCTTGGTGCCCTAGTTTTTGAAGATGTATCAGACGAAAAAAATGTTTTTGAAAAGGATGATCTCACCTCATCGATGCATTTTTGTTGCTTGGAATTGTTGCTCAATGATGGGCTGTTTTCGGGCGATCCTTCTGCAATCGAACAAGCAACGGATGCGTTGCTTCACATTTTTTCCGACGCGCCATATTTGTGTCGAGAAGTGGTTGGGTGTAAGTTTCTTCTTAAATAATTTCTAAAAATGTTTTCTGTTAAATGTGATCGTGTTCAATTTACATCTTGTGAGCTGTAAATCTAATTTTTTTTTATAGATGGCCAGTCGGGTCGTCCCCGTGCGACGAAGTTTCATGAACTGCTGATGCCGTTTATTCAGAACCCGGATGAAAATTACTCTTCTGAGTCGGTTGAATCGGATGATCAACAACCTCCGCGACGCAAAATTATGTTTAAAATCGATCCGATTTCTTCTCGTTCGCTTTGGGATCCTTCTGGAGTCACCCATGAAGTTTTGCTTCGTCGCATTTTTAATGCTATCAAGGAAGCTAACTTATTTTGTGAGTCTTTATTTCCGTTGAAAAAGGAATCGGTTCTGTATCACTGTTACATTTTTCATCTATGTCAAAATTGTGACAACCTCGTTAGAGTTAACACGAAATGATGCGAATATTCTGCGAACGATTACTGCCCTTACGTTTTCGTCCTTCCTCGTATTTGTGATTTTTACTTATTAATTTAATTGCAGTCAAAAGCCCGCTTTTGAGGACTACTGCGGACTTCGTTTCACGGTCCACAAATGCCGAGTGTGTCAACAAATTCTTTCCGGATGCAATTTTCTTCGCATTGACTTCGTCGCTGGGTTCCCCTGGCGTTTTCAAGGAAGTACAAGCGTGTATTGCCCGAGGGATCAATAAGTACCTAGATTCTTACTTGGAAGCTTCTCGCCCTGAACGAAACGTTCATGTAGTGGATGCGTCTTCGGATGCTCGATCTGTTTCCATTGTGATAGAAACCGTCCGGAAAATTATTTCGCGGGATCTCTTGATGTGAGTCCATAGTCAAATACTGTATAAATTTGTTAGTACAGTACTGTTACACTTTCTCTGCAACGATTTTCTCTTTACAACGATTTTTTTTCAGTCCTATAGGGTTTTCTCTGCCCATGTTGTAAGGATTCTCTGCTAGGGATTTTTTTTTGGTCACTTTAACTTCTTTGGAGAGAAAGTCTACCTGTATCCTTTAGTTGTTTAGTATAAACTCATAAGCCTCGGAGGAGAAGACCACAAGCAAGATTTAGATGTTGTATTTTAACAGAGCCGTAGAGCTAAGCGTAAGTTTTAGTTTTTAATACGGGGTCGTCAAAAATGTGCAGTGCAGATATAAAGTTTGTATAATCTGTTCGTTTTAAATTTTGAATAGGCACGAACAGAAGTGATTCGGAGGGGTTGTTAGGTATTACGGTAATTGTAGAAGTAGTCACTTGGAGCCTGAATTGTGTCGTGGAAAATTTCATCCTCAAGAATGTACGGTATATCATTGAAAAGCGGATAAAATTCGAAATGAATTCGATGTACAGTAATGAAAAAATGCCGTCCAACTGCTGTTGACGGTAATCGCACACCCACTGTGAAAAAAAAATGTCAGTTCAGTGAACAGAGCAGAGAAGTAGATCATATCGCTCGTGAATATTATTTTTTTTCTCTGCACAATAATTCTTTGGCACCCTCAGAGTGACAAAATTCAGCGAATTGATGGAAATTTTGGAATCGGAGAGCATATTGAAGCGCACGGTATTTATATTTTCTACTGTAGGTTCCGCCCTGAAGGCAAACGTGAATCGCAGCTTGCTCGACTTAGCGAGTTCACGCTTGTATTGAATCAGCTAGCTGCAGCACAAGCAGCTTTTGCTCAGGCTGCGTATCTAACTTCAATCATGCTTTTGGAGCTATGGTTCAGCAAGTTTTTGCGGTAAGGGATCTTCAAACAGATTTTTCCGTTGAGAAATTCTTCATTGAGGAAAGCCGATTTTTGCTTATTACTATTCCTTTCGTTTCAGTAATGGAAAACTGTCTTCGGAACACAATCACTTGTGTGAGCATTACTGTCCCATTCGTTATTCGATGGAAATCCGAGAACACGAGGCAAAGGTCGCTCATGAGCTTCTCGTCAAGGTTACTCGAGGAATTTTTCTGCAGTTTCTTCTTATCTTCCAACTCCTTCTGTCCAGTTTAAAAGTCGTAATCTGAACGTTTTTTTAAATTTTCTTTCCTTTTAAGGCATACCAGATGATCGGCGATGAAGATTCTGTTAAAGGCTGCATTCAGATCTTCACTGATGATGAATCCAGTTCCATGGAAGCATTGGAACTAAGTGGTGATTGGGAATCTCTCTTAGCGTTTGGCGATCGTTCGAAAGAATTGCCAGGTATGGCTTTTTTTTTTTGCATGGCATTTTTATTTTTGCATGTGATTTGGTTCTTTATTCCCGGAACACATGAGGTGAAATAAATGCACAAATATGGGATTAGACGGTATTCAAATGTTTGTAGTTCCAATTTGACTTATAAAAATAAATTTTTCAAAAAAGAGACGCGCTTCTTACGCCTCATGAAAATCTTGAAGGTCTGTTCCCTGAGAATTTCTGTCCTGGAAGTATTGTGCTGGAAAAAAATTGATACTCGCGTTATTTTCTATGAACGTATGATATCAAAGTCTAGGCGTCACTCTTGTAGTGAAATTTTCTTGGCTAATAAAATTTCTTATGTAATAGCGAGAAAAATATTCTGTTGTCAACGAAAGAGAATAGTTCCGTCAATTTTTCAAGCGATCAAAACAGGACTGACACCTTTGTCCATCAAGTGGTGTCTCGAAAGGCTGCCCGTGACAATTCTCGGATAATTTAGCAGTGAACGTCTTCCTTCTTGTTTTCGATGTCTTCATCGTCTTTGATTTGGCCTAATTTAAGATTCTATTATTGAAAAGTATGTTATAATTCCAAGGTGTTTTGAGAGCACTGCACAGTGCGAAGTTGTTCACCACGTTGTATGGTGTTGCTCGGTCTGAACAATCTTCGGAAGATCCGGATGTTATCGGTCTCCGTTTTGAAGCAGCCTGGCGTCTAACCAAGTGGGATGACGCCGACTTATTGCTCATTGATGATTACGTAGAGGTACTCTTATCTATTCTTTTTTTTTCGCTTTTCTTGGTCAAGATCAATTTCAGGTTATGATTTTGTATTCCACAGCCGAGCAACGCTGGAAACGCTCTCATGGACGCGGGATTTCACGAGCATATGTATCGAGGTTTCTTGGATTTTGTGAAAAGAAATAAAGAAGGATTCGATTCAAATGTGAACCAAGCGATCTTGTCGGTCTGTAGTGACCCCGCATTGAAATCCCTAGAAGCATGCGCTACAGTTTATCCTGTGTTGGGCAAACTTCGAGCTATTTTGGCGCTGGAGACATCCTACAGTTTACTGGAGGATGAGCCAGCCGCCGAAAATATTTTACGATTTTGGGCAAAACAGGTGAGTTGTTTGGAGGGGCTGGATTTGAATTCCATATCAGTTATGAATAGTAATATCGCATTACATCAAATTTCATTACAATAAAATGTTCAGTATACCAAACTATTCCTTACGTCTGGACAGAAGGCCTGTGGAAGGCATGTTATAACAATCTTATTGAAACAAACTTCTCGAATCCAGTATAAAAACTTTTTTGAAGAAAGTTCAATAAATTCTCCTGGTAGAAATTTCCTGACCAAGGCAGACACTGTCTCACACTTTCAATCCCAAATGTGACTGTTTCTTGCAGCATGGATGGAAGCTGTAATCATTGACAAATATGCTTCCAAGTAGTTCCACGTATCATCCTCTTGTAGACATCAGAAATTAGTTCAACTGATGACATTTATGTTTGAAGCTTTTTTTTTGGAAAATTACTCAGTTTTTCAAATAAATAAGAAATTGAAGAATGCCAGAAAGGGAAGCTCTAATTGAATATAAGCAGTCCTCTCAATGAATATATTGGTGCGACTGCTGAAATGCATGATTGAAGATCACTTCAGTTTTTCAAACAATAATGGAAATTCTGAGAATGTCAGAAAAATTAATATATAATTGAGAGTAAGCTTGTCTGATGTGAAAATTTGTTTCCAGTGATACATTTTGAATATCATGCTATCAAAACTAGTCGGTATTGCAAAAGTTTTCTGAAGTTCCCAAAGGTGTGTTGTAAAGAGATTTTACTGCAGTCGGAAGAGCTAATCTATCAAACGACGTTTTTGTTTAGGATGAAATTTCATCGAGGCTGTTGGAAGGAGAGATGTCCGCTGCTGTCCGAGTTGCTAGTTTGACTAGTGCATTAAACTTGTCGAGTCCACAATCGAGTTGCTATGAAAAAATACGCCATGGACTTGTAAGAACTTTGTTGGCCGTAGCTGAAACCGCGTCATCAGCTCGTTGGGGAGGAATGGCGCTTCAGGCCCTGACCATGGTGTCCAAGCATTGTGGGAAGTCGGTTGCGTTGGAAAAACTGGCCTTCGAAGGAAAACTGCTCGAGGTACTTATTGCAAATGTGTGACGTATTCTCGTAAGGATCTGTTGGATTAAATCTAAGTTCGCAGAAAATTCCGCAATTTTGTGATATGGACTTATTTTATTTTTCGTGAATTAGGTTTGCGGAAGCTCAAACTGTAAGTAGAAAAAAAATTCGTTACAAATTATTTCTGCGCTCCTCATATATTAAGGATTAAAGGCAACATGTTGCAAGAAAAAACTTGTCTGATTGCTCATTTCCTATAATATTTATTTATTTTCTGTTCAACATGGAAATACCGTAGTGCAGTATTTAATTTATCTCATTTTTGACGGCAGATTTTAGGGAATAGATTTTTCTCATGTCCGTCCCTTAGCCTAGGTTTATTTTATACTTCGTGCGTCGACGCAAGTAATTCTTGGATTTTGAGACACTAAAAAATAAAATGAATTATTTATTCGATGTATTCCATCATTACTTAATGAGAGCCATGCACCCGCAAATAAGATGCGCACCCCATTTTACATGAAAAACTAGATATTTCAAAAATAATGCAAACCAGAATTTGCATTTAGACTTGAATCAAACCTGAATGCAATTTTTTCCATAAAAAATGTCTACTAAAACTAGTCCAAAATATCCCATTATCATCAAGTATGATGCACACCTTGACTTCTAAATATATTTGAAATTTGTATACTGTACCTGCGTACGACGCGCACCCTTTTTTCCTCTCTTGGTACTTGAGTAAAAGCGGTAATGAATATAATACAATACTGTATACCGTATATTGTTCCATTTTAGGCTGGTGTGTGTCGTATGACGAATGCCAACGATCGTGGGAAGAGGATCCTGAAGAATCTGATTGATCGAGATAATTTCAAGTTTCCCATTCATGTGGCCGCTGCGAAGATTACTTACGGCGACTGGATGTCTACAGCTTTGTCTGAGCCTCCGAAAATTTCAATAGGTGCCTTTTTCGATTTCATTTATTCATCCAAAATAAAATTTCGAATGATTATGCGTCACTTGAATTTTTAAAACTTTTACCCAATGCGCCGAAGAAGATTCATGTTTAAAAACATATTTCTGCGTAGTTCGTGCTGAGATGGTTTCGAATTTTGCTTCTACTTGAAATACAGTAATTTTAGAGGTAATTTATTTTTTTATTGCGAATCTTTTTCGATTCAATTCATTCATCTAAAATTAAAATTTAAAGTATTATGCATTTATGCGTCCGTTGAATTTTAGAGGAATGCCTAACGCGCCAAAGAAAAATCAGGTTTAAAAACTTTTTCTGCAAAGTTTGAGCTCGATTAGTCTCGAATTTTGCTTCTATCGCTTCACTTTAAGTAATATCAAAGGTAATCTATTTTTTTTTATTGAGAACCCGATTTCAGAATTTTCTTCAGATCTCGATTCTGTTCGTAGTTACGTTGGAAGACGCGATAAATTTGTTGACGGAACATTTGGAGGGAAGGTGTTCGGAGTCGAACGATTTTGCGTCGACGATATCAACTGATCGGCGTGCTGTAGAAGATCGTCTTGCAGATGCCTATTACGTTCTGGGAAAAGTATCCGACAACCGTTACCGTCAATTATCCACGCAATATCGGTCCGATGATTTCCAGGTCAGATATTTCGCTATTCTATCCAGACAATTTTTTTTTCTGTTTTTTCTGACTGCAAAAAGAAAGTATGGTGTATGAGCCACTGTGTTCTACTCTTGGGGATGAAGTAACAGGTGAACCCATTTTAGAATTTTTTTTTCTGGATAAAAAGTCAACGTCAATTTTATAAGCAGACAGAATCGTTAGCTTCCTTATTGATTTTTTTTTTATTAAAAACCCAATGGTACGAGTTTGGTAGACACTTGATGGTGGGTTTTGTCAAGTTCTAATCATCACACTGGACGTTATATGGATCCGCGAATATAAATATTTATTCCACGAGTTTGACACATCTCGTGCAAACTTTGAGTGATGAGTGCCAAAATGTTGAGTTTGAAACGTCATGAACGGACTCCCACGATATCTCATTTTTACTGCTTTTTCACGCTCGTCGAGAAGTTGTGCCAAAATCAGCGCGTTACTGTATTTTCATGCTCGATTTCGCAATAGGAGAAAGTTGATGATCTTTACCTAAATATTGCATTGTACATCAGAAACACGCATTGACGCATGCTTTTTTCCGAGCCTGCGGAGAACATCAATGATGAATTTTAGGGACTTATCTTCGTTGAAAACATTGTAATACCTCTGCTTTCTTGGATTGAGAATTTTTCTATGGTGCTTTTTCTGCTTTTTAAAGCTTCATTTTCTGTTCAATCAACTCGGGATGCCCGCTTCAAAGTATTTTGTAGCTGGTTCGTTTTTCTTACTGCACTCTTGTTGGGCTTCGAAGACAGATGTGAAAAAACCCACTTTGAAACATTTTTCAACTCATTCGTTGTTTTTGCTGCACTTTTATAATGCTTGGAAGGCTGAAGTATGAAAAAAATTATTTAGCTAAACGTTTCAGCTGTAGATGCATTGAATTTATTCCAGGTGCCTGCCTCAAATGACGGGAGTATCAATTTTACGAGGCTACGAAGAATTTTATATTTTAAATACTGTATCGTCGTGAGCTTTTTCTCCGTTATCCTGTGCCAGCTTGTTCACATTTCCGATTTGCATTCCAGGCCAAAATCAGACGGGTCCGCGAGCTGAAAGAGACCGTAAAAACGATGAAGTCGAGATATGTGCAACTCAGTCAACAGAGCCACTTCGTCAGATCGCATTTGGAAAAAGTGGCCGTGATTGACGAAGTCGGGTGCAACCAGATTTCTGCGGAAATTAATCTCGTAACGGCCACGGCATTGCGGAGCTATGGGCAGGCCATGCTTCGAGCCGTGGATGGCAAACACGACCTGAGGATTTTCCGCTTCGTTGCTCTTTGGCTGTCTGCGAAGGGCGAAGCAAATTGTTTGGCAGAAGCTGGGAAGATTATACAAAAGCTGCCGACGTACAAGTTCCTGCCGTTGTTGCCGCAATTGGCCGCGCAATTGAGCGCCGGCTCCGACGGCCTCGACACATTCGCTGGCCAGCTGAGAAGTTTGCTTGGTGAGTCGATCAGGGTTTTTTTTTTCTTCTTTCAGCTCTGCAATGTTCTGTGCTTGATAAATTTATTTTTTGCCGCTGCCAAAAAAGTAAACCACCTTCATTTAAAAATTTCGGATTTAGTTTTTTTTGTTTCGTTGGTGTGATCTGGATTCCGTTGAATCCGAGCTGCCAACTGAACCACCTCGATTGAAGCTGCTCCAAATCAACATTCCGAACCTGGCGTGCTCTTGGTAAATGCATGTAAATATCCTGTGTGAATGTCGATTGTATCGCGAAAATCAAAGTTTTGGGGACATCTTCGCGTTGAGATGCGAAAAACTGGACGTTACCTGGAAAAATTGACATTTCGCAAGTGTTATTGGGCGGGTTTCGGGGTTGATACTGTATTGGCAATACGGTTGTCAGAAAAGGTGAAGTGGCGATGTACTTAGTTGAGAGAAAACTGGGTGCTTGCTAGTTTCTGTGCCTATTTTGGTGCTTTCGCGATTTTTGCTTCGGACAGTTCCCGCTACAGTATTTTGATGATAGCCTGAATCTCGAGCGTGCATAAAAAATGGCCAGGAAATGTGATGAAAGTAACCGACCTTCGTTGCAATTCCTAGAAAGAAAATAGTGCCTTTTTTATGGGGAAGCGCTGTTTTTCCTTGAGTTTCGCTCGTCAATTGTTCAGCTTATTTAAATTTTGTGCTTTAAAGCTTTTAGGAGAAATGCATATTTTAGTTGGCTTTGAGTCGGTCATGAAGAGTTCATGATTAAGTAATCGGCTAGTGGCCTTTTTGGATACACAGTTATTGTTTCGATCTGTAATAACAGAGAATATTGACTGAAGCACTGATATCATCAGCATTTTATAGATTTAGAAGACGGGTATTCCGTGAATGCCTTCAAATAGTATAGGTGGTCTCTCTCTACAACGGAATTCAAGGGACCAAGATAATAAATTTGTTCTTATAGGGAATTTCGTTGAAGAAAACCCTGAATGACCAACAAAAAAATTGCCTTACATGTACAGTGTAGAGAAAATTGTTGTAGAGGAAGTTCACCAGTGGTAATTGCTGTTGTCCCGAATCTTACACGTGTAGGTCTTTTATGAAGAAAGACTCCTTAGCATCTGATTAATTCGTCCCGCTATATTGACTTGGATTTACTGCTGAAGCCTCGTTTTCACATGAGAATGCAGAGGAAATAACTGTCGCGAAAAATCCAGAATCCGTTTTCGTTTCCCTTGTTGTTCCATTTAGATTCCAGCGATGAGTTTTCCTTTTCGTCCAGGTGCCTCGTTTAGGAGAATCATCACGAGACCACAAATCGCCGTGGTTCCCCCAGTGATGTAAGAGGTCCATCTGAAGTTTTATCAATTGAAATATTCAATTTAAAAAATTTTTTTTCTAGAGTAAACGAGATATTGGGGAAGCTTACGAGTTGTTCTCGGTTGATTTTTCTTTGTAGTTCATTAGCATCTCCTGGATGTTGTCGAAGCGTACCGGCCCATCGCTTTTCACCTGAAATTCGATCATTTGAAAAGAAGGAATATTTTCTCCGGGTACGAAATAATTTATGCCAGAGTTGAGACGATTTAAAAATAATTTTAGAGGGAGGAAATTATTTGAAATTCACTAGGGTCAGTTCAAGGATTGTAAGTCGCAACCAAACTGTCAGAGTTAGTCCGTTGAATTTTGACCCCGCATGCTGAAATTACGATTCCGATTTTTAGAAATTGTTGAAAAGTATTCCCTGTTTGTCCCCAAGCTTGTTGTCGAAACTTATCATGCGTTATTTTTTAAAAAGTAATTACCCTGCATGATTTAAACCTAGTAAAAATTTACCTGTTTTTGATTCCCCCCCCCCACCCCAAGGGACACTTTGATTTCTGCAATTTCGGTTGAATCTTGTTACTTCGAGCGAACTTCACACTACCCATCATCCACCGAAAATTGTACGCCTTATGGCAATGAAAAGTTTGGATACTGTATTGCTTGAGAAATTTTACTCAATCTCTTCTCACATTAAAATTTAAATACAGTAGTTTTGAAGTACTGTACTGTGCTGTGCTTTACTTCCTGAGTTAGGTTAAAGCTTAAAACACAGGAGGAATAAGTCATACCTGTAAAAGAAAAATTTACGGAATGAGCTCTCCAAAGATCCTCAATTAAGTGCGTTCAATTACTGTTGTTTATTTTTGAACATCGTAATCTGGCGGGGCTTGAAAAATTCATAATTACTCAAATCTATAAATTGCGAAGAAAAAAAAAGTCACGGAGTTGCCACTGATGTTGAACCGCCTCTAATGCTTGTTAGAATCAAAGGAAAAAATTCTGGGCGAAAAAAACCATTTCATCCATGGTAATTTCTTGCAAAAAGAAAACTGAGGTACTTCTTTGAATAAAAAAAGGAGTTTCATAGAAGGAAATGTTCTCAAAACTCACGAGTCGTGAAGTTTGAATCCTCTCCTTTTCCGCGATTCTCTCAGTCTTGGAATTGTCGATCTCAATCACTGACGTTTCTCGTACTTCTGGCATAAAATCTGCGCGATGCAATTGGCTAAGTCGGACACGGGATCGTTGTTCATTCGATTCCGGTACGATCCTGTGACCTGCGATGGGAATTTATTTATTTTTGGTTATTTTGTCCCTTCCAAACCTGTTTTGTCAGTCACGGAAAAGTTGACGTAGGAATTTGTGCGAGCCTTTTCCTCACCTCGGGTCGTTTCATCTCTGAAAAGTTGTGTGTTTGTTCGGTGTTCCTCTCGGCGTTGTTCAGCGACGTCGACTACGCGTTCCTTCCGCTCGAGACTTCGTCCTAATTTTCAAAGCAAAACATTTACAAATAAATGCCGACGCGTTTCGTTCAATTTCAGACCTTTTAAAATTTTATTTTTAAATTTCTCCATCGTGCACCATATCTATTCTTATTTTTTCTCATCGAATTATGTTAATTTCGAGAAATGTAGACGATCCGGTAACTTTACAGAAGGAAAACGATTATATAATGTTTTGTGGTTTCTGTCAAAACTGATTGAAAATGCCAAATTCTGAATGCGACAACGTATTTTGAAATCAATTTACTGTGAGCTGCATTTGAACAAAAAACGATTTTTGGTAAAGTACATTTTTAAGCACCGCGTTCTTTCTTTCTAAAATTCATGGAAATCAAATACAGATGGACTCTCCATCGATCTTGTCTCAACTATTTTCTTCGTACTGTGTAACGGATGTTTCTTTGGCCCCCTAGAATAGGGCATAGGGTTCTCTTGACGTGTTATACGGGTTCCCTACAACGAAATTCTCTCCACAACGAATTTTTCTTTTTCCCTGGAATTTCGTGAAAGGAATTTGTGTGCGGTTTATTTAAGCCCGGATGGTGGAAATTCTATCTTGTAGTTCAGTAAATCAGGTATTTATTCTCACCTCGTGAATCCATTCGTCGAATAGAAGATTCGCTGGTTTTGCGAGAGTTTCTTTCTCTTCGTGGTTCGTCTCGGGTTGAGCGGGTTTCCCGTTCCCTTTCATGAATGCGTCCCCTTGATGACATTCGGTCCTCTTCCATTCGGTCGTTTTCTCTGATTTCACGATTTTCGCGACGAACTTGCGATCGTCGGTCTTCTTCCCTGGCGCGATTCATCCTCTCGACGCTTCGACGAGTGCTTTGATCTGAAATATTTTTCGAAAAAAACAGGATTTTGTTTCATCCAGTGTGGGTTGGATAATTTTCTCTTGAGAACGATTCAAGAATGTCGTCAGGTTTGCGCATCTCCTTCGAGATGGTTTCTTTGAAGGACTTTGTGGAGATGAACGTAATTAAATATTCGATCATTTTTGACCACTGTTTCTATTTTTGATCTTCCGTTTGGAAATATTGAGAAAATTATAGAATTGAGCATTCACTGCAAAAAGTAATGTTCTCCTGCAAATCTTGTATATTTTGTACAACTTCAAAGGCGATCGAAATGCTACGAAAATATTTCAAGTGAATATAAAATAGTGGCAATTCGCCGGATCGAAGTTGACAGTAACCATTTCAATAGAAAACCTGGTTCGTATCCTTTTTTTGTTGAAATTGCAGATTTTTCGCTCACCTACGACTGGGTAAACAAAACCTTTTTTTTTTCAATTCAGGGCTGCAACCGAAGACGACGTTTGAAGCGAATTTCTTCGCGTTTTGTCTTCGACCCAAGAATGTTAGTAGTCTTCTGGATACGAAATTGTATTGCACTAATTACTTATTTTTAGTTTCAAAATTTGTTCTGATGGAGCTGTTGCAGTATCCCGAGTTGAATTATCTTTTTTTTTACCTCTTTCAGAAACCCTTCGCGTTGTTTCACGAGTCGCCGAAAAGCGAACGACTTCCCTCTCACGGGCAATGTCTATTTCACGTTCCCTGCGTTCATTGTTGATTTCCCTGCGTTGAGAGTCGATTTCCCTGCGTTCAGTGTTGATTTCCCTGCGGGTAGAGTCGATTTCCCTGCGTTCAGTGTTGATTTCACGTCTTTCCAGAGCCAGAAGGTCCCGTGAACTAGTTTCCCTGCGGTTTTCTGAGCTGCGTTCACCACTCATCTCCCGACGATCGGTTCGTTCCCGTTGTTGATTTTCTTGTGAAATTCGTCTGGAGCTGCTTTCATTTGAACGCTCGCGTCGATTTTCTGTATCTCTGCGATCTGCGATCACTTCGCGTTCTGTTGAAGAAGCGTAAGAAGCTTATTGTGGGTTTGAAACGTGTTCAAGAATTGAAGAAGAGCTAATGAAAAAACCCCGTTCCTTTAATTTTTCTTCCATGTGATGCTTTGTGAAAGCTAAATTAGTCGTGATTCGGTTAATGGACTCGATCGGTTCCAGTAAGAAGTTTATTATCCGAAAATTAATTGAGTACTGTACTTTAAACTGTATTGCTTGGCTAATTGTTTCGGAAGTCCACGGAAAATTTTCCTCATAAGTTATTGCGCTAATAAAAAAAAAAATGGATGCATGTTATACCGTATGTTTGCCGTAAAATATGCGAAGATTGCAGTAAAAATAATGTACTGTACTTGCACTTGACATTGAAGTGCAGTATCAAAAAAGCTGGTTTCAATTTGAGAAACTAGTGACGGCCAGGTTTTCCAACGCAAATTCAGTACTGTATCTTTAAATGGATCATCACTTTTCCTATACAGCAGTACTGTAGTCTTGAGCTTTTGATAACCGAATTACAAGCCGAAACGGTACTATTCTGACTGTACTATTTGATAAGGCGTGCATAATACAGTGCTTGATTGATTTCCCCTTTTTGATTCATTTGGCTTGCTTCACTTAATTTTACTATACTGTAGTTCCAAATCAAAAATTATTTTTCTCGCAAGATCTTACAACTCTACCTTTTATTGGTTGTTAGTTTTTAATGAAGAGTAACTTCATCGTTATGTTGAGAAAATATTTGAGAAGTTAGTGAATCGAAAATATATCTGTTCCGTCCAGTAATCAATGTTATGTTTTTACTTGAATTTTTCACTCTTTACTCGCAAAAAATTGTGAATACGGTACATTTAAAATTGGGTGGGAAAGACGGTTAACCTCGTGTGTTTCGAGACGTTTCCCTTCGTCCCACGCTTCGTTCACGCCTGTTGTTGATGTCGGATCTTTCATTCCTCATTCGGATTTCAGCTCGTGTTTCGGACTGATCTCGGCGATTCAGTCGTTGACTCGTTGTTGCTCTTCTATTTCCGATGATGCCTCTCTCGAGCCTCTCATCTTCTCGACGATTCTTTTTTTTTTTTTTTAGGAAGAGAAGAGAGAATTGTAGAGCTTATATACAAACAAATAAGCTCCACATTGAGTTTCGTCACGAAGATCACCTAGTCTGAAGCAGTGGCTAGAGAATTTCAAAACTTTTACTCACTCCAGCACGCTCAGTTTGTAAATCTTGCCGTCGTCGATCGTCAGTACGTTCGACTTGTCGTCTGACCTGTCGATCAGCTTCAAATCTTTTGTCGTTTTCCGAACTATTTTGAATTTTGTATCAGGAAAAAGTTAACGATTAGGAATTTGAAGCTGAGTTGTGGAGCTTTCTAGTTAAATTTCGACTCACCTCAAACGCTGGGAAGTGGGCTCCATTTTTTCTCGAGCCCGATTCTCGTCGAATCTCTCGTTCAATCTGAAATTTATGTTGTATTGTACTGTAGTTTCTTTATTGTGCTCAACGTCGTTTTTTCCTAATTTATGAAAATATGTATTCAATGAATGCGTTTTTAGTCTTGGTTTTCGCCAAGAATTTTTTCACTGGCTGCATTATGCTTTTATAGATTTTAAAAATCTTTTTCTCCAAAGGTACAGAATTGATTTTTCAGATTTCCTTTTTAAATTCACGCATGACGTCGAAAGTCGACAGTTGTCTCAAAATGCAAATATCGGAGGAACAGCGTGTCAAATTTATGTTCTTGTTTGTTCACAGAAAATGAAAGTTTTTTTTCGTGTGCTTCAATTTTCTTAAAGAGTATTTCAGAAATCTGGTTGATCAAGTCATCGGAAATTTTCAAAATCTTTCTTTTTTTTACAGTTTTGAAGTTTGTCACCATGAATTGAAAGAGAAACGAACGAACATTTTGCTACTTTTTCGAACTACAGACAACAATCTAGAGTGGCATTCCTCGTCAGTCATCTGATTAAATGAAATGCTGCAATTTTAAATTTAATACTGCTCTGTATTGAGTTGTAGGAAAATGAGATTGAGCTCGGGAATCAAGCACCCGTCATTGTTTGTAGCCAGGATTCGATTAAATTGTAATATGAATACTATAAACCAATTTTCAGTCAGGATACTGTACTCAAGTTCAGGTGTAATTTGAATCGTCCCGTCCTGAACGTGCTTTTACAATATCGTGAAATAGAAGAAAGAGCGTCGCTGGAAAATCAAATAATCAGGCACCCATCTTTTAATTTTCAGTCTTGCCATTATAGCGAATGACGATTTAAACTATCCCACGAGTAGAAGCAATCAGGTATAATTTTGAAGTGTCAATTTAAGAATAAATTCGTCATGTACTACTGTACAGTACTTGGAAAGGGAAGACGAGCGTCGCTGGGAAATAAAATAATCTTGGCGATCCCGTCGATTGTCTGCACGCTTGGCATTGGTCCCTGCTGCAGTTGTTGGTCGCTGGACCTCTGTGCGATCGCGCATGTCGTTTCTGCTGACTGATCCGTGGTCTGCGTCTCGACTGGATCTTGATATTTCCCTTGTTTTAAGAAAAAAATTGATGCACAAGTTGTGAAATGCACGTGTTTATGAGCCTGTTTCTAGTACATGAGTAGCGTAACAATTGTAAAATCAACGGATTACATTACCCACTTCTTAAAAACCGTGGACTTTTCGAAAATGAACTTATTTTTAAACCTTTATTCCTTTTAGAAAAGGCAAGTAAGTTTTATAGACTTTGATTTTTCAAAAAATTTAATTGACGCAACAATTGTGAAATGCGTTAATTGGGGGGGGGGTGATGTTCTGGATCTTGATATGTCCCTGTTTCCGAAAATAAATTGACGGAAAAAATTTTGAAAATGTATGTATTTCGTGAGTTTTATAGAAACATCTTTACGTAAATATTGTAAAACTGACGTTTTCATAAGCTTTTTCCAGTGAACAATTTTACGAAAAAATTCGGAAAATACGCATTTCATGAATTTCTTTGTGAAAAATAACGTACTAGAAGATTTTAAAATAAACATGAGGTAGTTCATAAGTCTCTCCAAAAGAAAAAACGTGTAAGATTGTTCGAAATGAATATATTTTTGAACCTCTTGTCCTTTTTAAGGTTTTCTTAACGCCGCCTATATGCTTGTAAACGCGGCATTTTTTCAAGCTGATAGAGTTTGTGGGAAAGCATTTTATTGCGACTACTGAATTCCGTGGGATTCTGTCCGAGCATCTTGAAACCCTTTTTATTTTTTTCCCTTTTCAAGAAAGAATTTGCTTGATAATGCCGTCAAGTTGCCGAAGAGAACTTGGTGAATTTTTTCTTCCAAGAACAAAAACGGAAATTATGTGCAGTGTATTATTCTTCGACTTTTTATTTATTTATTTTTTTATACCTGCGAGCATTTGTTTCTTTGGTGAAACGGTTGTCTCTTTCCCAAGAACGGCGTTGATCGTTGTGATCATCAGTGTTACCCTGAATGTCTCGAGCCATCCTGCGAGTAGAACCTTCTGTCATTCTCCTGAACTCCGATTGACGAACTTGGTCTTGGTGTTCGCGGAAGGAATCCCGTTGGAAACGGGTTCTCTCTGCTGTCTCCTGCCAGTTTCCAACGGCTGACCTCGTTCCTGTTAAGGTATCCAGAGGAAAATGTAAGAAAAAAAATTTGCTTCGTATCCAGATGATCAGTTGGGGTTTTAAGAAAAAATTGACAAGAAAGTGAAATCTTTCGGATTTTTCATTTGACGGTACTGTAGTTCCTTTAATGAAAAACGCCAAGAACAGTTTTTACTATTTACTAAGAGTTGGTTATTTTTTACGAAGTGTCACTTTGAGTGGCAGATGCTTTTTTTTTGTCTAGAAAAATTCGAATTGTCCCATGTCCAGAGATGGTATTTTCTTGTTTGGCTTGATGCAGCATGACAACCAACCTATAGAGAGTATAGACACTCAAGAAAAGACAACAATTTTCACTAATTGAACTTGTAACCCTCATTCACCATTGAGTTTTTGATCCCCATTTCATATTGCCGTGATTCGGGACAGTTTCCAAAAAATGGAAAAGAGGGGTCTGTTTTTGTAGGTTTGTAAAAAGCTAATTTCAGCTGCGATTAAGGGGGTCCGAAAATTGAAAAATGTTCGTTGGATTTCGGTTATGAATTCGCTAAATTAAGGCGTAAATCAAAATTGGATGGATATTTTCTTGAATGGAACGAACGTTTCGACGCTTATATTTATGCTTTAAAATGGTGTTACAATTCAAGCCGTTTTATAAAGTCCTATATATACGTCAACAGTTTGCAAGTCCGAGGTATTTTGAAAACCCCACTCGCAGTCATTTTTTTTTGTTCTTCAAGGGATAATTTTTACATTACTGTAGAGAGAAAAAAAAGTTTTCCAGTCGTAACTCGCTTCTTGTGAAGGAGTTTTCGAGGCATTTTCATTTGTAAATAAACCTCAGTTATGACTTGAGGACCAAGCTAACAAAACACTATTGAGGGCAGTACAGAAAATGTTGGGCCGATTTTAGACCAGCAATCCAGAATTTAATATTTTTCAAAATCACTGCCGCTTTCAAGTTCATTTGACATTAGTTCCTTTTATGAAAACTCTTCAAGTTGCAAAAAACTGCCGTTTGGTGGGCAGAAAGTAGAACGTTATACTGTACTGTATAATATATTCAATATATTGTAGTATTGTGTCAACATTTTGTGAAATCAAATTCAGTTTGCATTTTTTAATATCGTTTGAAAACTTTTCAATAATGTGGCGCTAACACTTATTTTTAAACGCAGACTGTAAATGCATAATTAAATTTTTATGATCGAATTTATAGCAAAATACAAAACACAGTACTGGTCACTCACGACTGTCTGCAGATATTTGTCGAACGAAGCTCAATTCGAGGCCAATGATGATCGGCAGAAGGAAAACGGGAAACGCGGTTCTCATCCTTCCACGTTTATTGTAAAACTTCCTCAAAAATGTTGCCTGAAAGAGAAAAATTATAACTTATTGGCATTTTTGTCAAAAGTTTTGTACGTCGAACTGGTACGCGATCTTTTTTTTTCACCCCCCCTTTTCTTTCCTATTGCGTTGTTTCGTTGTTTGACAACACTGTGGTAACTCCCTGAACTCTTTCTTCACTATTGAGAGGCTGGTGTGTCGTTTGCCCGGGTTTTATACCCGAATGTTATCTTCTTGAGCCATGCAATCCGTTGATGGTGTATGGGGGGGTTTACGTGGGTGGGGTTGAGTCTGGTTCGCCGCAATTTTTCGTCTAGGCAGAAATCATCTGATTCAGTGTCCAGAGGTTCAGTGTAGCCCGTGGAGGAAAAGCGGATGTGTTGACAGACGACCCAAATAGAATATGAACCCCAAAACGAGGCTGTGAAATATATTTCATTCATCGTCATTTTCAGAAAAAAATTTTCCCGTAGAATATCTCAATTTTTTCTCCTGAATTTTTCCGGTTGTGGGCAATTTGAGACTCTATGTTGCCAACTTCAAAAAAAAATCGTTTTCATGCTTTTTTGCCACAATATTTCAGCAGTTGAGCATTTTTTTCGTGAAGTAAGTGTTGCGGTAGATTATTTATGTTGGAAAATTTATATCAGGTTAGCCTTGACTCTCTCTACAACTAAATTCAAGGGGAATGAAAAACTTCGTTGTAGAGAACCCCTGAGACATGGGGAAAGAATCCTTCGGAAATTTTTGAGAAAAAAACCCTCTGGAAATTTTAAGGATAATAAATCTATCAAAATTCGGGATGAAGTCTATCATCTTTACCTAATTCGGAAGGACAATGGCAGTTGAATTATATGATGAAAAACAAGACTTCTCATCCTAATACAACTTCAGAAAACTTCTCACCTGCTGAAATGAATTATTTTAATTTTTTCATTCTGAGAAACCTTTCTCCAAGTCCACTTTTCGAATGGTTCCATTTCACCTTCCGAATCCCAGGCATAACCCGACGTTTCTTTGTTTGAAAATTGAGAAAATGCGTTCCATGCCTGGTAAATATAAAATATCTTTCCGAGAGATCCTTGAAACATGACGAATTCTAATTTAAGATAAGAAATGCATCATTAACAAAAAAAACTCGAGCATTTGTAGAGGAAAACAAAACGGGGTTTTTGGGTAGATTCCAAAAATAGAAGACGCGTCATTTCCGCAAAAAATCGCCTGAGCCCCCTCTGATGTTCACTCCCAAGAACGTCAAACCCACCCAAGGAACAAGAGCCTGGCTTTCAAAGATTGCCTTCTGACTCGGAATAAATTCCTCAGTTGGTTCCGCGACGATACCAGGGATCATTCTCACTTGAGGAATATCACGAGAAAACAAGCCTTCATCCCAGCAGAGAGAGAGAAGATCCCGATAATTCGAACCGTCATTCCGGTGTAGGACGAAAGAAGTTATTGGGACAAGGTTGTAAAAAGAAAAAAATGTGTACGACAGAGGAGCGAGTATCGAAACACCAAATCAAGAAATATCAAGTGCACAGAACATAAATGCCTTCACCGAGTGTAAAAACGACGTTTGAACGAAAGGGCAAGATCACAAAACGCAAATGGCCAAAAAGCAAGGATCTGATCATTAAACTAAACGAACGCAAAATGCATCGTTCACACATTTATAAAATAATCTAAGAATTATGAGTAAAGAATTAACTCAACACCAAGAATTGTAATCAAAGGAACCTAACCTAATACTCAACATTGTCTGTTATCTTTACCCAATTCGGAAGGACAATGGCATTTGAATTACTGTATATGATGAAAGACTTCTCATCCTAATACTGTACAACTTCAGAAAAAGTCTCACCTGCTGAAATATATCATTTTAATTTTTCATTCTGAGAAACCTTTCTTCAAGTCCACTTTTCGAATGGTTCCATTTCACCTTCCAAATCACAGGCACAACCCGACGTTTCTTTGTTTGAAAATTGAGAAAATGCGTTCCATGTCTGGTAAATATAAAATCTCTTTCCGAGAGATCCTTGAAACATGACGAGTCCTAATTTAAGATAAGAAATGCATCATTAACAACAACAAAAACTCGAGCATTTGTAGAGGAAAACAAAACGGGGTTTTTGGGTAGATTCCAAAAATAGAAGACGCGTAATTTCCGCAAAAAATCGCCTGAGCCCCTCTGATGTTCACTCCCAAGAACGTCTAACCCACCCAAGGAACAAGAGCCTGGCTTTCAAAGATTGCCTTCTGACTCGGAATAAATTCCTCAGTTGGTTCCGCGACGATACCAGGGNGGAATAAATTCCTCAGTTGGTTCCGCGACGATACCAGGGATCATTCTCACTTCGGGAAACCTTGAGGAATATCACGAGAAAACAAGCCTTCATCCCAGCAGAGAGAGAGAAAGAAGATCTCGATAATTCGAACCGTCATTCCGGTGTAGGACGAAAGAAGTTATTGGGACAAGGATATAAAAACATGTTTACGACAGAGGAGCAAGTATCGAAACACCAAATCAAGAAATATCAAGTGCACAGAGCAGAAAACCTTTACCAAGTGTAAAAACGACGTTTGAACGAAAGGGCAAGATCACAAAACGCAAATGGCCAAAAAGCAAGGATCTGATCATTAAACTAAACGAACGCAAAATGCATCGTTCACACATTTATAAAATAATCTAAGAATTATGAGTAAAGAATTAACTCAACACCAAGAATTGTAATCAAAGGAACCTAACCTAATACTCAACATGAAAAGCCGAACCAAATACAGTATTGCCTAACATAACAAATAACCCAGCACAACAAATGTAACCAAATATTGTACTGTAAAGCAGTGTTCCCCAACCCTTGGTCCAAAACTGTTTTGCCAGTCAGCTGGAAATTTTAAGGATAATAAATCTATCAAAACTCGGGATGAAGTCTGTTCTCTTTACCTAATTCGGAATGACAATGGCAGTTGATTTATCTGATGAAAGCACAAGTTGACATTTCATCCTAATACCACCTGAGAAAAATTTTTACCTGCTGAAATAAATTATTTTAATTTTTCATTCTGAGAAACCTGTTTGAAAATTGAAACAAAAAAATGCGGCCCATGTCTGGTAAATTTTAAATCTCTGTCCGCAAGATTTTTGAAACATGATGCTTTTTGATTAAAGATAAAGGCATCATTAACCAAAAACAGAAAATTAATTTGTGGAGGAAAACAAGACTCAGTTTTTGGGTAGATTCCAAAAAAAGAAGACGCGTAATTTCTGCAAAAAATTGTCTCAGCCCCTCTTATGTGCACTCCTAAGAACGTCAAACCCACCCAAGGAACAAGAGCCTGGCTTTCAAATATTGCCTTCTGACTCGGAATAAATTCCTCAGTTGGTTCCGCGACGATACCAGGGATCATTCGCACTTCAGGAAACCCTGAGGAATATCACCAGAAAAAAATATTTCACAGTATAGAGCTGGTGAATAATAGGAATTATTATCACTAGTTTCCCTTGATCCTATGTAAATTGAATTTGATGAATTTCCCCATGTACGTTTTTTTATACGAAGACGTCTTAATTTTCGAGAAGCAAAATCAGGAAGAGATGAGAGTTAATTTTTGATCGTCTTCAATTTCGAGTGAATGCAGTTTTTTGTGATCGATGGGTTTTTTTAATTGAACTATTGCATTCTCCTTGAATTTGACAGAACGTTGTGCCAAAGAACATCCGTTCCACGTGTTGCCGACAATTGTTGCACTAGCGAATGCTTCATCAGCCTCTGACAATTTGGACACGCTTTCGGGCAGAACGAGGGATTCCGTTTCTTCCGTTCCGGAAAAAGCCAAGTCAGATTCGGAAGAAAGGGTAAGTCACTGCGAATTGGTCCATTTGACAATTTCTTTCAGACTATGGAATTTTGCCTCGTAATCAACGTAATGTGTCGGTTTTCGTTAAAATTCCAGGGTCGAATCGCGGGAGCGAATCAGTTGTTGGCTGAGCTACGAGCGTCGGATCGGATTAAGACACACGTTGACGAACTCCTCGACCTTTCCCGACGATTGATGCAACTGTCTCTTTACAAATCTTCGGACAAAAGTGAGTCATTTTTTGCTTCTTTGGCAAGATTTAAAGTACGTACTACAAATGTTTTTGGGTCTTGAGAAGCGAAAGAAAGGTGGTTATCTTTTTGTTTGTTTTAGTGAACGAGGTCATTCCCAATTTTTTAAAGAAAAAAATAATGAACGTCTGTAGCTTTGAAAACTGGCTGTTCAGACTTTTTTTTTCGGAAAATGCGATTAAAAAACTGCGAGAAGAGCTCAAATTCTTCATTGTGTAAAAAGAACATGTTTTTCGGGTGCCCAAAAGTTTCTAGTCGGAATCATTCCACCTGGGCACAAAGAACAAGATTATCGAAACGCTTTCGTCTATTTTCTGAGGTTTTCTTTAATCTCAACCTGGATTTTGGTTAGTTTTTAATCGATTTATATTTCAGCGAGGCATTCTTAGGATTCCTGCTCAAACTCAGTTTTTCTTTTTTCTTTATTTAAACATGGTTTTCAGATCTGAAATATTTTCAATGAAATTATCTTTTAATTTTTAACATTATTTTGTTGGGATTTGAAAGTATTGAAACTGGTATCGAAGTCATAATACATGACCAGAACTCCAGCCAAAAAGTTTTTCCCATTGATGTGGTGAACATTCAACTACTCTTTCAACCTAGTTGAACGAAACTGGATTGTGGTCGAGAAAATTGTGAAATATTACTCAGTAAAAATGAAGTCCATATCCTTATTCCGCACAGCAAGAATCTAGAGCAAGAGTAGCAAAAAAAAAAAAAAGAAGAAAAAATAGTTGAAGCCGCTTTCTAATTTATTCCAAAGCCTCTGAAACGGGGGTTATAGACTACTTGCTCACTATCTGAGTTCATGGAGAACATTTTGACTGGAAATAGTTTTTTCATGTCTAGATTTGAAACATGGATCTTGAGAAAATTAGGTTCCGCTTTTATTGTGCATGAGAGCTTCAGTTTTTTCAGGTTTTCCAAAACAAAAAACCTGAATTTTTCTGGAAATTCGTTTCCCGGTGAAAAAAGCATCTTCAGTTGCAAACTGCCCTATTACCCTTAATCTCGAGACCCATGTCGAAGAAAATATTCTGCCATATTTCTTGTTTGATGGTGGTGAATTTGACACAAGCTGATCTTGGCAGTTTTTGCCCGAAAGTTTATTGTGTGTCCAACTCTGACCGTTGTTTATTCAATTTTCAGATAATCTAGAAATCCCACCATCGTTTCTCCTGGACCAGCCGTACGCGTCAGTAGCAGTGCTCACGAACCACATCCCTGTGAGCCGGTCTCGCAAGCGTTTGAGTACCCGGGATGTTCCTACTGTTGCCCGTTACGAGGGTTCGTTTGCCTTTGTCGGGGGCATCAATGCCCCAAAAAAGATCCTGTGTCGCGGTTCCGACGGAAGAGTGTATGTGCAACTGCTCAAGGGCAATGACGACATGCGACAGGATGCTGTCATGCAGCAGGTTTTCAACGTTGTGAATGCCCTGTTTGCCGAGTCTGAGAACCAGGAAATCACCAGACTGAGACTGAGGACTTACAAAGTTTGTTCATTTTGTATTGAAGATTTTTATCCGATTTTTACGAATTTTGTTTTTGTTGTTGTTTTCCTGGTCTGAGTCCCACGATTTCTCTAGAATAGCCAACTTTCGAACTACCATACTACAAATTGACTTCAAAACGAAATTCAAAGAGCCGGAAAAAAATTCTTTTTGAGAACCTCTTACATGAGGACGCTCTCTCTTTTTCTACGAAGATTTTTCTTTATAACGATTTTTTTTTCATGGGGTTCTCTCCCCATGTTGTGGATTCTCTCTACAATGAAATTCACTGTGGAACAGATTATTTTCTGGTCCCTCGAATTTTGTTGAGGGTGTTTGGCATTACGAAAACCCATAAAAAAATGGATGATAAAGGCATAATGGAACAAATATAGCAGACAATCAGCTGGTTTGTGGCCAAGAACATAAAGTCGAAGCTGCTTAATAGGACCACATTGGGCCATAGGTTTTCTGGTCCTGTTAAGCGGATGGTCCCATTATGTGAACATCCCCAATTTTATACCATACTGGTGTCACACCATCATGGCTCATTCACACAGAATGTGTGAACTTTTTATGGTCCAATTAAGCAGAGTTTTGTTCCAAATGAGTGACTCAAGTTATCTTAGAGGGTTTGCTCCTGTCCTAGACAATTTGGTCCAAATAAGCACCTGGTCTCATTAACTGGTGGTCCAATTAACCGACTTTGGCTGTATATTGAAAAGGAAATCTTGAATTCTTGTTCCTAGGCTTTAATTTGATTTATTGTGTAATGAATAAATGACAAAATTCACTAGGACCACTGAAATCACAAGTAAATAAACAAAAATGTGTGCCCAAAAAAGTGAATGAAACATTTTAGTAAAATTTAGAAAGAAGAATCGTAAGGTCGAGAAAATGAAGTAGGTGAGGTAGATGTCAACTAAATGAACTTTTTTTTTAAATTGCAGGTGGTTCCACTGTCCCCGAAAGGCGGAGTTCTCGAATGGTGCAGCAATGCAGAGCCGATATCTTTGTTTCTTGTGGGATGGAATTTAGGCGAAGGAGCTCATACGCGGTTGCGTCCGCAAGATGCCAGTGCTCGGGACTGTCGAAAAGACATTTTGGTAAGAACCTTTCCTTGCGTCGAATTCCGTATTTTTTAATCTTCTCGCCTCGAAATGTGACCATGCGTGTATTTGTATTCGAATACCGTATTCCCTTTTTTTATTCTTCTTTGCAGGACGTGGCAAAGAAGTCGTTTGAAGAAAGGCATCTGGTGTTTATGGAAGTGTGTCGGAAGATTCAGCCAGTTTTTCGTTACTTCTTTTTTGAAAACTTTCGCAACCCGGGAAAATGGTTCGAGCGACGACAAGCGTATACGAAAAGCGTTGCGGTGTCGTCAATTGTGGGCTACATTCTTGGACTGGGCGATCGCCACGTCAATAACATTCTAATTGACAAAAGAACTGCTGAAGTAGTTCATATTGATTTTGGTAGGCATTTCCGAATTTAACGGTTTTTACGCAATGATTAGACGCCCTTAAATTACAGGACGCTTGTAAAGTTTACGGCCCTTCAGGTTAAACAAAACAAACAAAAGAATATATGTATGTTTACAAGGAGTCGAACAAAAGTCCTTGGAATATAAATTTGAATGGCGTATGATTGAGCTGAAAAACAATTTTCGCTGTAAAAAAAAATTCAGCCCTGTTCGACGTCTTTAAAATTTTTTTTTTTGCAGAAGTCACCCTGACAACTTTCTGCGCTTCACGAAAAAGATCTCGCGGATTTTTAGTGTGGCCCAGCTTGCATTTTTGAATTTGACATGGCATTAATTCCAAGGGTTGCCAGGTCTTCCAAGGCAATTCTGCTACTTTCATCAAAAGCCGCCTTCGCAGACGACGCATTGTCATCCCAAGTAGCGGCTGTTTCTGAAAATGACGGAATTAATAATCCATGTATGGTGGCAGCCCTTGGCGTTAATGATTTGTCAAATTAAAGAATTCTACAGGGAAAGCTGGGGTACACCAAAATATCTGCGAGATGGGCGCCTCATCTTTTGAGTTGAGAGCCGGAAGCTACCAGGGTGACTCCTGCAAAAATTTTTCTGAAAAACATGTTGTATAGGTCTGCATTTTTTTTCTTATGCCAAAGAACTTTTTTTTTCTGAACAATAATTTTTTTTTCAGCTCAATTGTGTGCCTTATTAATATCATGTTCCGAGACCATTCTTAAGACCCCTCGTATATGTTTCTATCCAAGTTGGAGAAAATATTGGATTGTCTTTCGTCACTCATCTCGAAATTTCTGAAACTTCGCAGGAATCGCATTCGACAAAGGACAAACTTTGCCGACTCCGGAAACTGTGCCATTTAGATTGACGCGGGACATTATTGATGGAATGGGTGCCTTGGGTGTTTCTGGCACATTTACCAAGTAATTCTTGATTGAAAACGCAAGTCGAACTGGCAACTATCATTTTTATAATTTTTTTTTTAGGTCTTGCGAAAGGGTCATGCAATCATTGCGTGATGCTGCTGGCGAAGTGATCCTGACGGTTTTGGAAGTATTTTTATGGGACCCTTTGTATGATTGGGACGTTTCTGAGGAGAAACTCATGATGGTTCAATCAGAAGACGCTGCTTCTCTTCATACCTTGGAAAGGTCCAAAGGAAGGAAGTCCGGTATTAATGGTGAGAATGCACGGATAACAACGCTTTGAAAATTTTTGGAATGCATTAAATTGTACATGGTTTATTTTGCTCCCGCTTTTGCGGTAGGTTTTTTGTTTTATATTCAAGAACAAACGCGTCAGGCAGTCCTTCGAGTTTTTTTATTTTTTTTATTTTGACCCAAATTCAAATTTGCAGCATTCCGTTGTTCATTTTTGTTGTTCTCATTAAATTTTTTCCTCTTTTGGTGCATTTTTCAGAGTTACACTTTTCAAATGACCTCAGAAATCATACACAGATGGACTTCCTGTACAACGAAGCTCAAGGGGCTAGAAATAAATTCGTTGTGGAGAACCCCTTTAGCATGGGGAGACAAGGCTGTGGGAACGCACAAAAAATTCGCTATATGCAGAGAAAATCATTGTACTGTACACAAGATCGTTGTAGAGAGAGTCCCACCTGTACCAGATTAAAATATAGAAAAAATCTCGAATATTTGTAAGTTATGAAATTGAACTTTCACTCGAAGCAACACTGGAATTTGTCTCTTTCGTTTTTACCACGTTTTTATGAACTCACTTTCTTGTCTGTCTGTTTGGGGTTCATCCCTCAAATGAAAGCAATGGGTGTTCCAAAAACGTCAAATTTGATCATAAAAAAAGAGATTATGAAAAGACGGAGGAGAATTATGAAGAAAAACCAAGCGTCTCCAAAAAATTTAGTAAGACAAAAAAAATTAGTAGATTACAAAATTAATCTAAAAAACCAAGTTTTCAAAAAGCAAAAAATAACCTTAAACGTGGTGTGCATCTATTTCATTTGTATTTCACTTCTTCCCAACAATCTCCATGCGCACCACGGTTAAGGTTATTTTTTGCTTTTTGAAAACTTGGTTTTTTAGATTAATTTTGTAATCTACTAATTTTTTTTGTCTTACTTGAAAAACGTGGTTTTTTAGATTAATTTTTTAATCTACTATAATTATTCAAATTTACTGCGGCATGATAATTGTCATCATTTTTGGTCCGTTTTTCATTCAAAGCTTTCGCTGATTTTAGCCAGAAATTTAACGAATATTTTTCCCGTTTACGTCATAAAAAATTCACTAAGGAGAAGGTCAGTTATTTATTCATCGATTGAAGATTTAATTATAACCCTGACGCAATGTTTTCGATGTTGTGGTGAAAAAAACAGTTACTGTATATTTGTTAGAACCACTTGAGTTTAGAATAAAACAGTTCGTGCTGAATTGAGACTCTTACCATTCTGTAAAAAACTCCTGACTTCCCAAAGATAATTTGCTGCTGAAATCTTGGATCCTTTTCTCATGTCATTTGAAATCTAATGTCCAATGTATCATCTCACTCTCAGCACCCTCTACCAAGCAAGATTTGAACAGAGCTGCAAAAGACAAGCTGTCGAAGGAAAAAGGAAGAAAGAATGAAATGGCGAGCCGAGCCTTGGCCACGGTTCGAGAAAAATTGCAAGGCATTGTTGATGGTCATCCGTTGTCAGTTCCTGGCCAAACTGCTTACCTCATTCAACAAGCTCGTGATTCTGGGAATCTTTCTCGCCTGTTTTGCGGATGGCAATCATTTTTGTGATCATTTTGCAGTTTTTTTCCTACTGACCGCTAATGAAGTGAGTTTGAGAGAGACAATTCTTTCTATGCTTTTTCATCGTTGATTTATTAAACGCAGTGATGCCACTTTGATTTGAAGTTTTCAGAGAATTAATTCGAGAGGTCCCGAACCTGTGCTCGACACATTTCCTTCTCTCCCCAGCAGATGTCCTATTGCTACTTTTGGATAGAAAGAAATCGAAGAAGTGGATTAACTTCAGGCGAAGACCACCACTTGAAAAATTGTGCCATGATTACTTTTTTCATTATTTTATTTGAAGCATGAAACGAAGGCTTGTTGATTTTTCCTTCTTTTTTTTTCTTGTGCGTCCTTTGGATTGAGTGATTCTTTTCTGGGTGCTTTTCTCGCATCACGAGAGAAACAGATGCACTCTCTTTTCTGCAATTTTGTACTCTAGGGTCCAAGTGAGAAGTTGTTGCATGGGGAATATTATTTTAGAGACGTTGCGAGTATTTATGTTGTGCATAAAGTGCACTATGATGCAAGAAGATTCGATGCAGGAAGATGTAGAGTTTTTAGAATACAGTATGCTCTACATAGAATACTGTACGAGAAAATTGAAGCATCGACATTTTTGATGATTAATTGTTAATGTGATTTTATTATTATGAATATCTTTCTTATTTTATCTCATTATCAAATTACACACCCCGAAAAAGTAATTTTCAAGACAAGAAGCTAGGCTTGATACAGAAATCTGCTATACTGTATATTTATATTGTACAGGACATTAATTTCAAAGAAGGCTTGTTGAGACGTAATATTGTATGCTGTCCTTATTAGATTTTCAGTGCTTTCATTCGAAAGGAAAAAATTCTTTGAAACTTTATCTACGCTTTCCTGTGTGAGATATTTGCCACATGTTGCGAATAATCCGCTCGCCACTAATAGTGAAGCATCCTTTGGGAGATATGTGCATACGGTTTAGACTTGCCTAACTTTCAACATGCTCACTGGTGTTTTGTTCAGTTTTTCTAAAATTATTCTGATACTTTCCCTCTTTTTGGGAAGAGGGGAGGCGAAAGAGTTCGAACGATGTGAGCTTGCTCGAACACTGAGATACACCTTTGGCTTCGATAGAGAAACTCTGGGCGATTGTGAGTGTTGTTGACGCCATTTCTGTTGTTACAAAAGCTGATGCTAATTGTTGAGTAACGTTCAGTTCAAAAAGGAAAAATAATTGAACGAATTATCTTTATCTCAAGTCACAGACTGTCTATTTTTAATTGCTGCTTATAGTGGCCTTAATGTTCGAGCTATTATTACTTTTGGATTAGGTTCTTCTCATATGTTTAATGCCTATTGGATAAAGTTAGAAAAAACAATTTTTTCAAAGCGATATTCTTAGTTCCTCGTCGTCAATACTGTATTCTCAACTTATCTTCAACATAGTTCTTAGGGTAACTTATTTTGTTTAGCCTATAGAAAGGATTTTTGTAGATAGGGCAGATCTGCATCATCAGTGAAAAAGAAAAGAAAAACACCCAGGCAGAAATCTTCCAGTACAAAATACAGCTTGCGCAAAAAGCCCCTAGGAAAAATAATCCGATGACCAACCTTTTTATGGATTGTACCCCTCTTATCAAGAAGTGGCAGAGTTTGTGCACCACCTCCTGGATAATATCGGTAACTTGAAATCAAAATAAAGATAAATCATTGAATTGTACTTGCTTCGAAGTGTCCATGCGATGTGATGGCTAGAATTTCTAATTTTTGGATTTCCTGATTCTTCGGCCTGAGTCAATTTCAGGAATGAATTGTTTTTCCCTTTTCCTAATGCTGCATGTGAAATATTGTCATAGCAAACTTTCAAGGAGCATCAAACAAATTTGTGTAACGAAATTATCATTAAAAATTGGGACTTGATTCTTTTCTGAAATTGAGGATTCAGTTAATCAAATCCTTTTTTGTTGGCCAAATCACGACAGTTTCGAGCATAATAGCGTGAGTTTCTTAGTGTTACAGCGAAAAATGTATCATAACAGAAGCAACCAAGTTTTGCCATTATGCAGTAATCTCTACTTTATTTTTTCATTTACGCCGTGTGGAATTTTCTTGGGATGGTAATTTTTTTTAAATTAATGCTGAGAGCAATAAGTAATTATTCAGAATTGCCCCCTTCAAAGATTGAAAAATTATGATAGCTGTCTCATGAGAAAGTATTGTTATATGGATGATTCGTTCTTCATGTGACCAGATTTTCATCTATCCATTTCTTATTGTACCAATACTCGATACGTACAAAAGCTTTCCCCTAATCAAGACACCTGCACAATTTCTGTACTGGAAAATTTCGCATTCCTCGTGCAGGTGAACCGCTGGTTGAAACCCCCTCTTTTTACAATATTCTGTTTTCATTTTCGAGAACCCAGTTACCCATGATTTGATTCCGTCCCTTGGTTGCGTGATGAAGGGGTTTGTCTGGTGAGATGGGAAAGTTCTTTCGACACGAGCAAAAAGGGAGGACCAAACTCGAACGGAAGCTTTGATCACGGATTATTCCAAATCAACGATGGCTATTGGTGTTATCCACCTCCGGAATATGCGGACTGCAACATTGCTTGCGATGGTAATTAACCTGCCTGTCTCGAGTTCTGAAATTTATCGTGGGTAATTATTTGGGCTTCCATGAACAGGGTACTTGATTGACAGTACACCAGAGGTTAATTTAATTGAGAGTAGGAAGCTAAGAATTTACAATATATTTACATTTATACTATTTTTACATTTTAACTTAAGCTACTTATTCATTTCTCTCGGACATTACTATAATCATGGGGACTCGCGAGGGTCGGGGTTTTCATGATTGCCGCTAAAATGTCATGTTCGGTCGCTTAGGAAGAAACTTTTGTTCGTTGAATGCCATTCCTTCGCACTAAGTCCCTTTACAACGAAACCATTATTGGGAGATCGAGCGCATTCATTTAAAATTAAAATAAATTCTTGGATGCAGATTTGCGAGACGATGACATCACGGACGACATAGATTGCGTGCGCATAATTTTCAACCGACATGGATTTATTGCCTGGCATGGATGGGAGAACTTCTGCAATGGGACCGATGTTGAGAACGATTGGGTTGCTGATTGTAACGTTGATTAAGTATATGATCACCAATTCTTCAATGTTGGCCTCATTCGTGTAATCATTTACCCTGAAGGAAGCAATGAAATCCCGATTTCATTTCTTCCGGGCACAGCCATCATGCTTGCATGCATGCGGTACATGGCGTATTTCAAAAGTTGACCACCTAAAAGAAGTTTTGTATCAATAGCCTTCACATCAGTATAGCGTACTCCAGTGTATTCCATAGAACAAGTTTTCGGAAGTCGTGGGCGTGTTAGATCATGCATTCTTACACTTTAAATATAGAGGGTTTTATTATCTCGACATCAATATTTCATGTTTTTCCATTGATTTCATCAAGGACCTGAAGAATATTTTAGAGTTCACGGTGCCCAATTTTTCATCACGGGCGAATTACGGTTTTTAAATAATAATCTACGACAGTTAAATAAAGGAAAACAAGTTCCTGAACAGAAATTAAAGCTCTCAATGGTTCTCGGAATGAAACACTTCGGGATCAACTTTGCGCAGCTCTATTTCATGTCTTCGGCGAACAAAACACAGAGAACACCCAAAAACCACGACCGCTGCACGAAGAACAGGAATGATCGCAGACGAACAAGGAACATAAAATCAGATGAATAGGAGAGTCAACCCAGACATAATCTCCCAAGAGACACCTACTACGAAACGGGGGTGGAACAGGGAGAGATTGCGTTGACTGCACTCATCCGCCAGAAATTCTACATCATTCATCATATCACAATTTTCATTCTCGCGTTCATAGCGAGAGAAAAAAAAGAATTACTTCATTTCCTTCCCCGCATCGAGGAAAAGAAAAGAAAGCGAATCGCAATAACTTAAAACTCCGCGGGACCGAGAAGTTCTCATTTACAACTCGTCCTTCAAGTCTTCGTCATCTCCACCTGGTGTCGGCGGGGCGCCACCTTGGCCTTGGTACAACTTGGCAATAATCGGCTGGATAATATCTTCCATCTCCTTCTTTTGCGTCTTGTACTCCTCAGAATCGGCACTCGGGTTCTCCTCCAACCACTTGATCTTCTCATCAAGAATTTCCTCAATCTTCGTCTTTTCCTCAGCCGACAACTTGCCTCCCAACTTTTCCTTGTCAGACAACTGGTTCTTCAGGGAGTAAGCATACGACTCCATCTCATTTCTCGCCTCAACGCGTTCCTTCAGCTTCTTGTCATCGTCGGCAAATCGCTCAGCATCCTTGATCATCCGATCGATATCGTCCGGGCTAAGACGGTTGTGGTCGTTCGTGATGGTGATCTTCTCCCTGTTGCCAGTGCCCTTATCTTCGGCAGACACTTGCAAAATACCGTTGGCATCGATTTCGAAAGTGACTTCGATTTGAGGGACTCCACGTGGCGCCGGGGGAATGCCAGTCAAGTCAAATTTGCCCAACTGGTGATTGTCCTTGGTCATGGGACGCTCGCCTTCGAACACCTGGATGGTGACAGTGTTCTGGTTGTCAGAGGCCGTGGAGAAAATTTGAGACTTCTTGGTCGGGATGACGGTGTTGCGGGGGATCAGCTTGGTCATGACTCCGCCAACAGTTTCGATACCCATGGTGAGAGGGTTCACGTCGAGAAGGACGATTTCGCCAGTGTCTTGTTCACCAGAGAGAACGCCGGCTTGGACAGCAGCTCCGTAAGCAACAGCTTCGTCGGGGTTGATGCCTCGGGATGGCTCCTTTCCGTTGAAATACTGTGAAGAAAATTTTTTAGCGATTTAAATTCTTCAAATCCGGTGGAACAGCTTCAAAGCGAAGCAGATCAGAGGGAGCAAAACATTTCAGAAAATAGCAAATATCGAAGAATCTAAAAAAAACGTGTCAGCGAACAGCTATAATCACGAAGTCTTCATAATTGTCGTTATTCACCAACACGTTAAAACTTGAAGTGACTTATGAGGTTTTTTTTTCCCACAGTAATCGGTACTTTTGAGAATCTCGCTGTTCTGACTCGTATTATTGTCTCAATCCCAGAGAAGAGACTCGCCGTCATGATACAAGTCATTTCGAGACAATCCGGTTTAATTTTAATTAAATTTTAATAATACGAATAGAATAAAATTTAAGATCATCAGCGCTCACCTCTTTCACCAATTGTTGGACCTTCGGAATACGAGTAGATCCTCCGACTAAAACGATTTCGTCAATTTCGTTCTTCTTCATCTCGGCATCCTCCAACACCTTTTGGACAGGCTTCATCGTGGAACGGAAGAGATCCATGTTGAGTTCCTCAAACTTGGCACGGGTGAGAGTTTCCGTCGGTGTTGCGGGGGATCAGCTTGGTCATGACTCCGCCAACAGTTTCGATACCCATGGTGAGAGGGTTCACGTCGAGAAGGACGATTTCGCCAGTGTCTTGTTCACCAGAGAGAACGCCGGCTTGGACTGCAGCTCCGTAAGCAACAGCTTCGTCGGGGTTGATGCCTCGGGATGGCTCCTTTCCGTTGAAATACTGTGAAGAAAATTTATTAGCGATTTAAATTCTTCAAATCCGGTGGAATAGCTTCAAAGCGAAGCAGAATCTATAAAAAACGTGTCAGCGAACAGCTATAATCACAAAGTCTTTATAATTGTCGTTATTCTACTTATTCACCAACACGTTAAAACTTGAAGTGACTTATGAGGTTATTTTTTTCCCACAGTAATCGGTACTTTTGAGAATCTCGCTGTTCTGACTCGTATTACTGTCTCAATCCCAGAGAAGAGACTCGCCGTCATGATACAAGTCATTTCGAGACAATCTGGTTTAATTTTAATTAAATTTTCAATTTGATAAATTTTAATAATACGAATAGAATAAAATTTAAGATCATCAGCGCTCACCTCTTTCACCAATTGTTGGACCTTCGGAATACGAGTAGATCCTCCGACCAAAACGATTTCGTCAATTTCGTTCTTCTTCATCTCGGCATCCTCCAACACCTTTTGGACAGGCTTCATCGTGGAACGGAAGAGATCCATGTTGAGTTCCTCAAACTTGGCACGGGTGAGAGTTTCCGAAAAGTCTTGTCCATCGAAGAAAGATTCAATTTCGATACGAGCTTGATGAGCCGATGAGAGAGCTCGCTTGGCCTTTTCAACTTCACGACGCAACTTCTGCACGGCACGGAACAGGAAGGACTACAGGAACGGCCAAAAGAAGAACATGTTGAAGTGCTTCATCAGGTAGTGTGCGACTAGCTTTAGAAGTGGCGGATTTTAGCTTCCTCTCTTTAAGGCAGCAATTTAAAGTCGTGAATTTGCTCATGGAAAATTATTCCCATGGTGTGCTACAAACTGCCTCACGTATCAAACAATTCTTCACGTGCCATCATTAAAATTACGAAAAATTCAAACCTTAAATTAACCATAAATTGGCTCAACACATGAAATTAAAAAACCTGACACCGGGGTAACCCGACTCGAGCATAATTCATAAGGCCATTCGCCCCTTAATAACGAAGCCATAAAAAACCAATTTCATCATCAAAGTACTGTATATAAAATGAACACGGCATAAAACCTGCAATACGTGGCGAAACTACTATAATTCTATCATGACAAATCGAGAGGATTAACTAGGGTTGAAAAATAACAGCAGCAGTTGTGTCGAAGAAAAAAAATCGACAATAACTGTAAAAAAATTTTCAATCTGGGAAGTTGGCGAAACTACTATAATTCTATCATGACAAATCGAGAGGATTAACTAGGGTTGAAAAATAACAGCAGCAGTTGTGTCGAAGAAAAAAAATCGACAATAACTGTAAAAAAATTTTCAATCTGGGAAGAGGTAACACAGCTCTAAAACAAGGAATTCATCTAACCGAACTGTGACGCAATAAGCTGTCAGCGAGAAATTTCCCGCAGCAATTTAAATCTAGAAGGTGTAGCTAGAAAATTTGTGCAAAAGAAGACTACTTACCAAGATGAGTGTCACCGTTGGTGGAAACCACTTCGAAGACACCATTGTCAATGGTCAGCAGAGACACGTCGAAGGTACCACCGCCCAAATCGAACACAAGAATGTTCTTCTCGCCGTCCTTCTTGTCCAGACCGTAGGCAATCGCAGCAGCAGTGGGTTCGTTAATGATACGCATGACGTTGAGTCCGGCGATCACACCGGCATCCTTCGTGGCTTGTCGCTGAGCATCGTTGAAATATGCGGGAACAGTGACGACTGCGTGAGTGACCTTCTTGCCCAAATATGCTTCGGCCGTTTCCTTCATCTTTCCAAGGACCATTGCTGAAATTTCCTCGGCAGCGAAGGTCTTAGTTCCCTGCGTGGTTTCCACTTGCACGAGGGGCTTGTTGTTCCTGTCAATGACCTGGATTTCCAAATGAAACGTCATCATTAACATAGAAAACACCAAATGACCTATTTTTACGAATTGATCGTATCACCATCTTTCCTGATACTGTTATTTAGACAGATTCGTGGAGAAATTGGGTCAAATTAAATCGTCTAAAAATAAAGAATACTCGTCACACTATGGACCATTTTCGTGGTACTCAAGGTTCAGGTTATTTGTTCAAACGCTCGCTTGTATTATTGCGATGGTAGCTTTACAAAATTAGCGTTCGATCGCTTATTCTTCAAGTAAAGGGCACTTCATACATGAATACGATTGTACCGCTGAACTTACGAAAGGGTACAACAAAAAAGGTTCAGACGATTGAATTTGAATCATACGTCAACGCGACATCGGGCGGTTCCTTCAGAACACTTTTCACGTGAAAGCGTCAGAAGTACACGTCAGCATAGGGAAAATACGTTTCCTACAAAAATTCGCGAACGACTTACCTTAAAGGGGAAGAATTTGATGTCCGACTGAACAGCAGAATCTCCCCATTCACGACCGATGAGCCGCTTAGCGTCAAATACGGTATTTTCCGGATTTGTCGTAAGTTGGTTCTTAGCAGCATCACCGATTAGTCGCTCTCCTTCCTGGGTAAAGGCGACGTAGCTTGGAGTGATTCGATTACCTTGATCGTTGGCGATGATTTCCACTCGCCCGTTCTTGAACACTCCGACACTGATGAAAATATCAACATTATACTAACACAAACAGTAAAAAAGGGTCGGATTCTTTCGTCACTTACCAAGAGTATGTAGTGCCTAAATCGATGCCTACTACAGTGCCAACATCGTCTTTCTTCTCATCCTTGGCTGTGGCGAAGGCCACTAACGCCAAAAGGCTCAACACTTTCAACAGCATTTTAGCTCACAATTCACTGATAATTCGATGAGTTATATCCACGACCGAGATTTCGTGATAAGATCCTCTTCTGGAACAAATCAGGGAACTCAAGAATTGCATAAGGCTCGAGAAGCGAGTTCACACTTTCGCAAGCTTTTCGCGTTTTCAACTCGCACTTCACAATGAACACGTGGCTCTAAGTCTAGCACTGCAAAACTAGACGCGGTTGCGTTACATTCTGAAAGGAGACAGACAACCGAATCCGCAGTTCTCTGTTTAACGAAAACGCTGACGCACGGGTAAAGCGGATTCACGAATGCGGAACGCAGTCCGCTTCGCCTGGGGCGCTGCGCTGTCCACGTCACCGTTGCTCACTATATAGGTCAACGAACCGAACAGGTGCTGCGAGCTCTCTGTACGGAATACCTCCTCTCGACTTCTCAGATATACAGTGGTTCACGAATTATTTTTTTCTTCTTTCGGTTCCAACAAAACGATAATTGAAACTGCACATAAACTGGCAAAGCTCCTGCACTTTATGGAACCGAGCGGCTTACTGAAGAACGACTAGCGTTAGCATCAGACCACATTTCACCAACGAAAGTTACCAGGATCATCCGAATGACACGTAATCAGTCTTCCAAGGTTCCGTCACTCGAAATGCCAGGACTGACGAGAAAACGCGAGAAGGCGTTCGCACACTCTCAGAGGTATCGTGGCATAGCGGCAGACCACAGTCTATCGCGGGTGGGGGAAGACCACGCAATCGCCGCTTATCCCACGTGTTCTACAGCTATACAGATTAAACGGGCCGCGAATGCCGGGTGCCGGCGTGGTCTTCTCTGATTGGTCCCTTGCGTTACGTGGCCATTGTATGTGGCAGCCGCATACTATCACAGCGTGGAAAACCAAGAACTGAGAGGTCAGCACTCCGGCTATTCATCGTCTGTATTAGATATGACGTGGACCTGATTCTGAACATAATCTGAAATATTAAACATTTTTATAGATTTGTGGTCCACTTTGAACGTGGAAAAATGTTTCAGCAGTGCATCATGCACTGCAGATGAATACCCAGGATTTCATTGCATTAATTGTTGCTCTGCCGAATGTTTACTCGCTTTATTTATTCACGAATAAAAGCAAGAAAATAAACCCATGTCAATTGTGAAATATGCAGCCAAATTAACCTTTGTCTGACCCTCTGATTTATTTTCAATTGTCCCTTTTGATTTGGGATTCCAAAAATGGATAATAACAAAGTAATATGAGAAAATTCTAAAAATGTACTCATTATGTAGGATTTGGGCAGGTTTAAATGGGTAAAAATGGTCCATCAGAAGCAGATATTCAAATTAAGCATCCATTGACATGTATGAAGAATGCCGAATGTTTTCTTCAGAAAATCTTTCTGTTAACAGCCAATACTAAAAATTTGAAGAAGCCAGAAAAGCAAGATGTCATTGCTAACAGGCACGTGTGACATGAAATAAATTTATGAGTCATTAATTTCAAAAATCTTGAAACAAATTATTCAGCATAACAAACTTCTGAAGTGGTCACAAAAAATTGTTTCACAATTGAACCTCTTGAAGTCAAATACATCCCTAAGTTGATTTTTTTTTTCAAATCCCAGTCTGAATTCCCTCATAAGCAATATATCAAAAACTTCTTCAAGTCAAATGCTTTTCTTGGAACATCCTAAATGTTTTAGTCCTTTGAAATTTGATGAATTGCTGGACTGCAACAAGATCTTTAGCGTATGCAGTGTACATCCATAGATACTCGTGGGATTCTTGTATTCCCTTACTCCTTGCCCACATCACACCAATAAAACAAATAAGATCTGACATTATTTAGGATTGATGATAAAATAAGAGATAAGACACACGCCTGCTTTTATCTTTTCTCAAGAATTTTCTCATACAGTTCATGGGGGTGATCCCAGGTTTTGTACAGCTTGGAATTTCTCAAGGTTTAATGGTCCAGGTTTCCCAAAAACGTCAATAGATGTCGTATATCTCGACGGCACAAAATAGGACACAGCATTTTGATTTGAATTTACTTCTTTTATTGCAAGCATACAGCAAAATCCAGCTAGAAAATAACTGTGCACCATCTGTTTCAAAGCCCACATCCAAAACATGCTTGGTTGAAAAAATAACACACTCCATAGCTCACGTGCGCACCGATAAAATCTAAAAATTGTACCTGCTGTGAACGGAATATTCCTGAAAATATGCAATGCCACGTTTTTCTTGCGTAAATGAGGCAAAATAAATCGGAGAACAGTCCGAGGTCCAGCAATACCTAATTCTTTCACGCGAATACAGCAATAACTTGCACATTTCTTTTTGGCAGTAACTGAAGTAGCAGGATATCTATAGCGGCCGCTTTGTTTCCAAGTTGGCTCAATTTCCAGACGAAGAAGCACCAATTCCCAAGGTTACGACTCGGAAACATATACCGCACACCCTCGACGGCTTGTTCGATCCGAATTTCAGCAACGGAGTCTCGTCACTCGAACATTTCGCACACAATACTCTTCCACAATGACGGCTGCGGAAAATAAGAGAATCAAAAGCATGAGCGATGAATAAAAAAAACTTTCTTCCGAAGTTCGGTAAGTCGAACTTCAAGGGACCAGCAAAAAAGTTCGAGCTACGGAGGTTTTGTAATAGGGAAATAATCTTGTTCGTCGAGGAAAGAAGGAAAAGTGACAGGATATCGTAATCGGTGATATTCTGGGCCTTAAATTGATCTTGAAATGAGTTGACCGGATGCTGAACTTACAGGAGAGGGCTCATTTGCCAGATTAGGCCTTCACTTCCTTTCAAAACGTTAAAATTTTTACTGTCTTCTCTTCCTGCGTCAATGATACAGTGTAAATATGCAAAAGGTCCCAGAAAATTCGAGCTATGGAGAATAATTCGAGAGGCATACGACTCAGGGAGGTTCTCGCGTTATCGAGGCTGAACCCATCAATTTTAATTTACTCATTCTTATCGCTATATTTTTTGACCGGAAAGTGGTTATGGGAGTGATTATTAGCTCATGAACCAGAAACTATTACTCTTAGCTGAGAAAGACTTTAGAGAAGTTGAAATCTATCAGTTTTCGAAACTTGCCAGTGATGCCTTCTGGTGGTCAACGAAAACTTCGTCCCACACTCCAAACAGCACTCAGCCTCAGCCCACGGAGGTTCAGTAGTGACACAATCCAGCAACCTTACAAAAAATAAAGGGAACCCCAAAAAGTAAAACCCGCTCGCTTTAAGTAGGTTCAAGCCAAAATACGAACCGGTACAACAGTGTCTTCGTGGCTAATTGGTAGTTGAAAATGGTAACACCCAGCTTATTGGGCAAACCCAGACAAGCGCCTGTTTTCACGAGCGATTTGCAGAGAGCAGCGTGACCTCGCATGTAGGCAAGTAACAGGCCAGAATGACCTTCTGCGTCTTGTCGGTCGATAGGATAATCGGGGCACTTCTCCAGCATCCATTCCAAAATAGCAGCCGCATTTTCCGTCCCGTACTTGCACAACACGTGCAGGCAATTGTAACCCCGCAGATTCACAGCCTGATCAACACCAAATCAAATTAATTCTTTCATTTCAAAAAATACAGTTGAACTTCGGGAACTCGAACCGCCATAAGTCGAATACCTTCCCATTTCGAATAACTATTTCAGTAATAATAATAACTATTTCAGTAATAATAATAACTATTTCAGTAATAATAATAACCATTTCAGTAATAATAATAACTAGTTCAATAATAATAACTAGTTCAATAATAATAACTAGTTCAATAATAATAACAAGTTCAGTAATAATAACTATTTCAGTAATAACTAGTTCAGTAATAACTAGTTCAGTAATAATAATAACTAGTTCAGTACTAATAATAACTAGTAGATCCATATTTCATGCATTCAAGAAGACTCCGACAAGAAATGAGGAAAAAATCCCAGCTTAATTCTGAAATACAGTATCATGAAATTCGGATCCAATTTTCCAAAAGCGCGTTCGTTTCAAACATTATACATCGACCCTCCGTTCTAGGGAATCCCACGATCAATCGCTTACTGACATGAACATCCGTTCGGTCGTCCAAGATCAAGACTTTGACGACGGAAAACCTGCTGTTTTTCATGGCAGTGTGCAGTGGAGTGTTCTGCTCGTCATCTACAGCTGCAGGTGAAGCTTGGCTCGACAACAACACTTCTGCCAATTCTGCACCGCCATTTGCTGCCGCCAAATGCAACGGAGTTTGCCGTCGAGGAGTGAGAGCATTCGGATCCGCTCCAGCAAGCAGCAAATGTCTGATGATGGACTCTTTTGCTTCCATCTAAATGAAGAAGACAAAACCCCGCTCTAAAAATCCAAAATCCTGTAAATTCGGTTCGTTTCGAACACAGTACAGTACACATATTTTTGAGTTCAGTCAGATCACGCAACGGATGACGGATCATTGTTCCAGACCACAAATTTTCAAATACAGTGTAACATGGATCATTTTTCAACTACAGTACTGCATTTTCTAAATGAGAAAAATCCAGGATGTCAATGCCAACTCCTTCGTCCGTAAATTAAATAGTAAAAAATTAGGAAATGGTACGATGAATAACTGATGAAAAGTGATGCATTCCTAGGTTTAATCTGAAGTAATGATGGACCAAGATGTCTTCAGCTGAAGTCACAGACATATTTATGAATACAGTAATGCAATACCAAACCCTCACGTCAAGGAGGGTCATGCACAGGTAGTACATGATGAGGTGGTTTGTCTTACAAGTAGTTTAGAATTCGTTAGACGGTTGAAGACCCTTTTTCTCAGACCACAGAAACTCAACACATACCGATCCAGAGCCTGTGCCATTTTTCACGGCAAGGTGAAGCGCAGTTTGTCGTTCAGAGTCCTTTGTGACAGCATCGACGTTGACGTGCAGAGATAGCAAAAATAAAACACCTTCCAAATCTCCGCGAAGAACTGCTGAATGGAGAAACGTCTTCCCTTTGCTGTCATGCTGTGGAGAAAAAAAAAACATAATCTGATTTATTTTTTCCCCGAAACTCGAACCAAATATCTTCCGGATGGGTGAACTAGTTTGCCAGCTAAATCGGAGAGATTTTTTTTTTTGAAAAAAAAAAAAAACTGGTTTAAAATTTACACAGAGAAGATTGAATTTAATTCTTCCTAGTTCCTGGTGTCTTCCAGATAATTTATTCGTAATCTTAGGGAGACAAGTCCATTATGTTGAAAATGGTGATAAATTAGTACGGGCAGTGTTTTTTGGCAACGTTGTGAATTTTAATAATTCATTCCTCCTAAAATTTCGTACCGATTCCATCGCATTTCTGCACTTCATTATTCTCGTATGTTTTTTCTCGTGGATTTGGTTAATGAAGAATTGTGTTGACAACTCCGTTCCGACTCGAAATTTAATGGTTACCTTGAACTTTCAGCCCAAAATTAAGCTCATCAAATTGGACGCTTCTGTATTTAGTTTGTGTTCAAATTTAGAAGATGTAAAAATGCAGATAGCAACATATTTCAGTTAATTTAAAACGTTCAAGTTTTCGTACGTTTTATTGATACACTACTACACTTTATCACGTGGACGTGGATAAAATTGAACTATGTGAAGTAAGATGACGCGATAGTTCGGAAGAACAGGGCCTTTAAGATTTATTTTCATGCACCAATCGAATGAATTTTTCCAGACGAGGAAGCAGGCAAACAAATAAATCGCAATGAAGAAAAGGTCTCGAAAAACCATTGTCTCATTGGTACTTCGGACCATGGATGGTACTCATATACTATACTTCATGCAGTACATCTTATTTAGCGTGGATGTTCAAAGCGAATAGACTCCAGGGTTCGATTTCAAGCTAAACCCTCAACTCACGAGGTTAACGGCGGCGGGATTCCGCTCCACAATAGCAGTGGCGGCTTTGCTATTCCGGTTGACCATGGCTGTGTGAAGCGGCGATCGACCCAATTTGTCGTTCAACGTCAAGTCAATTGCCGGATGCGACAATAACAGGCTCACCAGCCCTTCGTGTCGGTTCACTATTGCCAAGTGAAGCGGGGTTTGACCGTCGACATCCTGTTGAAATACGATGGAAAAATGTCTCAAGATTTTACGAAATTCCCTTTGTGAACAAAAGCTCATCAATCGAGACTTCAGCGAAAGCAACCGAGGTTCTAAAAATATATTGCATTCGGATACTGAGCAAAAACTGGGAAAACGGTGACGAATAATGGTATAGGATTTTCAGTTTGGCACTTCAGAATTAATGCACGCAAAAAATGCCTACATTTCGTATTCGCAGAACAGTAGAATAATTTTGCACTTTTTATGATTTCTCGAATGTAATACCGTGTGGCCAAATGTAAAGTTCATATGTTCCGGAGTGCTTCCCCAAAATATTTCGATTCATAAAATAAGCCTTTACGCAAATTTCAATTCAATTTTCTTTCACTATCCGAAAAATATTATAAAAAATGAAAAATATGAAAGGTTTATTTTACATCAGTTATGCTCATTTCAACGTAGGGCTATCCGGAGTTAAATTCGCATTCAGACCAATATCAATTCGCGCTACTAGATTTGCACAAATTCGATGCACTAACAAGTTTGGACTTCAGTCTAAATCTCGCAGCTCAGCGTTGACAGATTGTTTTGCCGTTGACAGATTATTTTGTCATAAATCGAAAAAAATGTCATAAATCACCCCATGGTTTAAACCGTGAAGATATTCCCTCGCAAAAATGTGGTTTTTTAACCGTTTTATCCATTTTCCCTGAAAAAATTGAACATCTTCCGAATGTTATAATCCAATTTATAGTATACGTAAAGTATCTGGTAATGAAGTACGGTATTTTCAGATTTTATTTTTGGAACATTCAATTCATTTCGAAAAAAAAACCTTCGAAAATTTGCTGAAAATTGGGTCGGAACCGCGAATACGCATTACAAAAATAAATTTAAAAGAAGCACGTGAAAAATTCCGTCATTGAAAGTGTTCATGCCTGGGCGTTGACATTAGCTCCAAATTCCAGGAGTGTTTCAACGATAAGCTCTTGCCCCCACTGACAGGCCAGATGCAACGGGGTGGCCATATCACGGGCTTCCTCGCCGCCTCTGCCGTCCGGGCCAGGCTTCCTAACGGCGTCCACGTTACATCCGCTTCGAATCAAAAACGCTCCAGCTTCCTCCTTGTTCTCGTCGATCGCTTTGTGGAGCAACGTTTGCAAACAACCGTCGGGACCTTCGTTCAAGCCCTCAACATCAATTCCGTTCCTTGGAACACACAAATTAATCCATCAGAAATAAGAAACAATAAAAAAGAGTAGGAGTAAACAATTCTTAAGAGTCAAACCAACCTAACAAGTACTGAAGCAACGTCCAAAAAATTGTTGTCCAACGCCAACCACAACGGACTGTCTTCCGTTTTCGGGATATCACTAAGTGCGGCCCCTTTTTGACATAGTGCTTCCACAACTTTGCTCAGGTTTTGCTCCACAGCCATTACCAAGGGTGATTTGCAATTCGCGTCACTAAAATTGCAATGGAGGAGTTTCATCGCGTTAAATTCTTTAAATTAAATTGGACCAAACGAATAACGCCGAGATTGGGGGTGCAAATTATACTACAGTACTGTACTTACCACACTAGAATGAATTTTATCCGTAACGTGACAGTAAATTCTACAGTTACAATACTCTAAGCCTCTCGGGGTAACGTGGTAAAATATAGAAGGAAAAAAAACTCGATCTAACCACATTTTCGCGAATATAAAAAAACTACATTTTCAGTAACTCAAACTAATCAATGTTCGTCGAAAAAATAGGCAAGTGCACCATCACTGGTCTCACTGTAAAACCTCTATTGCACTGGGTATAATAAAACACCTTCTCGGGCTTAAACTTTGAATTGAAAGTTTTCTGTATTTATAGGCGGACTCTCTACAACGACTTTATTCACAACGATTTTCTCCGTAGAACGAATATTTTGTCCTCTCGAGGTTTTCTCTCCATGTTACTCTATGTATATTATGTCGAGGGTTCTCTACAACAAGATTCAAGGGACCAGCAACAAATTTTCGTAGAGAGAGTACACCTGTATTTTAGATGGACCATACTTTGATTTCATCTTCAGCGGTGTGAAGGTGCACATGAGTTCATGAAACAGAAAATTATTCATTTTGGAAATCAACTGGCGAAATTCACGGCATGTATCTTCTACGTAAATTCAGAAAGCTTTCAATTTTAGGACACGATGAATGTCACGATGCACTCCGATTTATTTTTCCTACGATTGGGAGCTTTTTATGTTGAAAAGAAAAAGCGGTGAGATTTTTTTCAGCGTAGTGGTACCAGCGTAAAAATTTTTTTTTAATTCTCCGCGAAAGTAACGAAGTTATATGTTAGAATGAAAGTACCTGGCATAGTGCAGCTCCACTCCTTGCTCAATCAAAAACAATATGGAGGGTTCATCTCTGGCTTCCAAAGCTTGTTCGAGCAATGATTTTTGCTTTCCATCAGAACTGGGCCCACGAACATTCACTCGTGCTCCATGTTGTACTAGAATCTTCGCGGTTTTCAGGTCTCCACGCTTCAACGCACTGCCAAGAGCTGTTTTGCCTTCCGAATCGCGGATTTCCAAATCTAGTCCAATGGCTGACGTTACTAAAATACAGATCAAGAAAAAATCAAGGTGAAAAAATGCTTTCCTTTCTCCAGAAAGGAATTTTCCACACTCCACGACGTTGTCAGCAACGTGCAATGAGGGCATATGCGAGAAAAAAGAAAGGTTTAATCATCAAGGTTTAGAAGCAAGCAAAAAAAGGTGCGAAAATGTTTTTAAAAAAATGCTTCAGAAATAATTGTTACATCAATTCCGCATCATGGTCTCCTTTCATAAATGGTTTCTTATTTCATCAATAAATCATTGAAGGGCTTAAAAGGAGTGAGTTCACCAAAATTTTGCGAAAGAAGTTCTTTTGTTTTATCGTTTACGAACAGTCAGCCGACTTTTTGGTCAAAAGTGGATCAAACATCAACGGTGTTTTAACCATTAAGATGCTTTTAATTGGACCACTTCTTCCTAGAACATTCAACGAAGCGTTTGGGACCTCGAAAAGGCTTCATTGTATACGGAAATTCGTTCAATCCAAAAAAAATAAATTGTAGCTATTCGAAGGGACCGAAATACCAAATTGGTTGCAAGCATTAATTTATTATCACGAAATTTTATTGTACATGGATTGAATTAGTCACCAACGGAATTTTACTGGTACAGAAGTAGACCTTTTGGAAGAGACGAACCAAGCTTTTTTGATCCACGAAGCATTAATTTTTATTTTCCCATCTCGCAACTATTAGTTTAGCTTTGAAAAAAAATTTAATACTCACGCCCTCATTCGCAGAGGGCATCAAACAGCTACTGAAAATCGCTATCACTTTCATAACGGGTTAGATTTCAGCATTACTTCATTTTGTATGTAACAAGGATAGGTTCGCTGAAAATCTTCTCACAGCCATGTTTCAGCAGGGCATCGACAGCGTCCTTCTTTCCACATCGTATGGCACAATGAAGAGGCGTTTCTGCACCAGGTCTGCTTTCGCCCGCATCCATGAATTTTGCAGTTTGGAGATTCGGATTTCCTCCGGCACTCAGAACTCGCTGTATCACCTTGAACATTCCACTTGACGCTGCCACGTGTAATACGGTCTCGCCCTAACATGATACATTTTTTCATCAACGATGCTCGAACGAAATGCGTAATACAGTAGAAAATATGGTGACTGATACGGCTGAATCTGTGCGAGAGTATTTTCAAAAATGAAACCCGGACTTATTATTGACACGCCGTACTTTCTAAGATGCAAAATATTTTCCTCCAATCTTCTCTTATTGAATGAGTCTCTTCCTGAATACAACATCGAGATTTTCGTAAGACAGAAAGCATCATTAAAAATAATTTTTACGCTAAATTTTCCTATTTCCAGAATGAAACAAAGCAGCTTTTCGATTGATTCAAAACGGAACCACAGTAGTTTACTCATGAACGTCAAGGAATTAATAGGAGAAGAAGCTCATAGTAAAAAGGGAGGTTCAAACGAGCAAGCAGAGAAGAATATTTTGGAGGAAATTATTAAACATTGGAGTGATTCAACAACAGGTCATAATCTTCGAAAACACACACTGATCACGGCACAGATATGAAATTTCCGGAATATTTTCATTTTTTTTAAACGATTTTGAAGCTGAATTCTAGGCTTTCAAAATCCTAGTCTGAGAATTTTCTGTAGAATCAAAGTTCTAGTGGAAAATTCAACTACATTTTAGGCGATATTACTTCACTTACACTGCGGTTAGTGACGTTAGCAAAGGCTCCGTTGTCCAACAAGAACAAACAAGCTTCTTCAAAGCCGGCTCTAGCACAGGTGTGTAGCAGCGAATCCTGACTAGACGGGTGAACAGAATTCACAGAGGCTCCGAGTTTAACCATATTCCGCACTAAATCGCCACTCTGCGTGCTTTCAGCGACATTCCTTCAAAAAATCGTCAACGAGACACGTTCGTTCAAATTCAATATCCGACCATCAAGGCATTGATCACGAATGGCTAGTGCATTTAAAAAAATACCATATTTATTCAAGTAACAAGCACCCTCAAGCAAGACTTTTACTCCAATTTTCTTTTAGATAAATTTGTCCAAAAACGTATCCCTGCTTTGAAGACAGTTTTTGTTTGCTGAAAATGAAGTAATTGCGAAATCTTGAGGTTTTTGCTCATGTATTCATTTTTCGTCCGCAATTAATGGGCTGTCTTCCATGTTTATTATTGCCTACAGGAGCAGTTAAACTGCTTGAATTTAATGGCTCCCTCCATCAGAAAAAAACATTTTTTCCATTTCTTTCCTTCCACTTGAGTCTCCAACTGAACAGTTATTTCTTTGACAATTGTTTCTCATGGAGAATATAACTTGGCGCAATGCATTTCCTCTTCATTCTTAAAATTAAAGTGGGATGCGCACTGGTTTCCCTAATTTTTTCTCTCCTAAAATGTGTAGCCAAGTCCTACACCCCGCTTTTTTCATCAATTTATGGTAAAAGAAGCGCATGGTATTTGGGTAGATACGGTAACTTATTATGCAAGTACTTGCAGTAAGTAAGATTACAGTAAAAAAAAGAAGTATTGTCAATAATTTTGACAGGCAAATGATTTCAAATACTGTACTTTCTTACCCTGCACTTGCTTTGATGACCAACCACAGTGCAGAGTTCCCATCGCTATTTCGCTTTTCAAAGTTTATCAGGTCCGACCTTTCCAGCATTCGGTTGATCACACGATAGTTCAAGTTATCCACGGCAACATGCAAAGGTGTCCTAAAAATATGAGAAATGCATCATGAAAAAATAACTTCATGAGACCAATAAATTAAAACCCTGTTAGCTAATGAAAGAATGACGACTGAAAACCTAATATTCAGCAATACGACTGGTAAACAAATACCTCTCACCCATAAATATTCATTGAGCAGATTTGCACAGGAAACTCAATACGATCCATGTTCACAGAATGATTCAGTCTCAGTTACGGTATTCGAGAATTTTTTCCTGATTATTCCTTATGCTTCTCGCGAAGTGTACTATAGCCGGAATAGAGTCTTCCAGTCTGCGTTTTACATGAATTTGGATCAAACGGAAATTTTTTTTCATTTATTGAATTTTTTATTATTTTCCATCTAATTTTTTGTTTCTTTCCAGATTCCTACAGAATGATTTCCTTAAATTTCGAGGCATTCATAAGCCCAGATAATATAAGAACACAGTATTCAAAAATGTAGATTTGGCAGCTTTTCAAATTTTTCCGGCGAGTGAGTCCCTCCCATTGTTTTTTTAAAGCTTCGCCTCATATAAAGTTTTACAGATCTTCTGACTGTGAGTGCCCTATGTTTCGCAGTGCTACAGCTTCCACGGGAAACTCAAAACAGGAAATCTTGCCTTTCGGGGGTTGAACGTGTTTTGTTTCTTAGAACAATAATCCATCAAGATTGAGTCAGTGAAAAAATTAACCAAGTTCGGCATTCGAAAAATAAATACAAAAAGAGAACAAAGCAGTCCAGCGAATGCCTCGAAAACGTTCCCACATCCCACTGTGACAGAAATGCTGCATTCCGGATGAAACTGGAAAGTTTTTGATCTCGTCGTCCAACCCGCAGAATTTTGGCGCAAAATTAATTTTTCGAACTTTCCAAATTCTGTTTCCGTTTAAAAAAAAATGATACCACGTAACATTGGTTCCAATAAAATGTTTAGTAGACATAAAAAAAATAAGGAGGCATGCTAGAGGCCAAAATTCATGAAAAGCTGACGTCCATTTCAATTAATGACGAACAACTCAACTGCGTGGTCAGGGAATTTCTGGGAATACGCGCCTCAGGGAATCAAACAGGGATTCTCTTCTGTAAACTCCCGCACAAATATCAAAAGATTCGGGGGGAAAAATCAGGGGGAAATTGAGGGACACAACCTTCCAAGATTGTCCACAGCATTCGCGTCAGCCCCCCTGTCCAACAGCATTCCAACAAGCACCGACAAATCCTCCGCATCATCAACGGAAGTTTGCTTCGGAGAACTGATCCCGGCTAGTAGATGCAGCGCAGTTGAACCCTCTTTCCCAGTGGCAGCGGTAGAATCCACACCATTCTTCAACAAAAATTTTGCCGTTAACGTGTCCCCTGGTTGAAAGAAGACCATCACAACTCTACCACATCACTTCTCAAATCCACGTCGATTAAATAAAAGTACAGTACCATTCATAATGGCTTGATGCAGGAGATGATACCCTCGGGGATCTTTGAAATTTAGGTCTGCGCCGTGCTCCACCAAACTTCTGGCAAGGTCGAATTGTTTAGTAGACAAGGCAAGCATTAACGGAACATTCCCGGATTCGTCCACTTCGTTCAAGCTTCCGGCAGCCTTCATAATCATTAAAAAAATAATAATTTCGTTAATGTTAGTGTTTTTTAGGTACACATTAGGACTTTTAAATTACACTAGCTGTGTCAAACATGTGCTTCCCTACTTAGAGTCACGTGCGATGAGTAAAGATGAACCTAATTTTCGCAGAGTAACATTTGATGATTTCCTTGATAGAGCTGATTTAATCCGTAATCAATGGGACTAAAAAAATACAGTAGATGTAGAGCGAAGGCGTACCAACTCACAGCAGTTCAACAATTATCGAATACTTGTACTTGAAATAAAGGAAAATCTTCCTATTAACAATGTCTCAGATCTGTCAATCGTGCCCCAAGAAAAAAAAAATGCTCTGATCTGGACAATTTCTGAATTAAATGTGCTGGATCTGAAACGATTGAAGTACAGTATAAAATCGACGTACAAATATCTTCAAAACAGAACTACGATGAACAAAAAGCCGAGGCGGACTCTCTCCACGACGAAATTCAAAAGATTATAAAAAATTCTTTTTAGAGATTCCCATAAAATGGGAAAATAACTCAAAAAATTTCCTTATACACTATATACAGTATAGAGAAAATCTTAGTAGACAAGATACTGTACTTGGTAGATAGAGTCCCCCTGTATTAAAAACAAAAAAAGTTTCCATATGGTTTTTCTCTCGATTCTCAAGCGCGTCAAGAGTCTACGGGATTCTAACTCAGAAATTTCGATTAACTTCACTCAAGTTCAACAACTTTTTGAAATATTCGTATTTTTGGAACAAAACCATAGGATTCCCATCCTGGATTCTTCTTTAAACCTTACCTTCGAATCAATCAAATGCAAAAAGACAACGTCGTCTCGTTGCAGACGAATTGCAGAATGCAAAGGATACACGGTGTGCTGCTGCAGCATTCCGTGCAAAAGTTGAGCATTCATGTCACGGAAATCATCTCTCGTGAAATCCGCCCAGTGGCTCGATATGAGTTCGGAACAATGCGTCTTGAGCCTTTCTGCTCCGGTTTCATGTGCGGCAGTAAAAAAGCTCACTACGTTTTTCACGGTCACCGCTGCTATCAGGTGTTCTTCGCATCTGCAAAAAAAACACAAGCGATTTCAACCCAAAACTACATATTTATAAATTGGTTCTGCATTATTCTCTAAAGTTCTTCGCTTCATGAAGTGCCTCCAGTTCTACGACTGTAAAACGTTTATCAACATTTTCGACGTAAGATGGTCTGTTCCTCAATTCCACCTTCAAAGGCATAATTTTACAGAAAACATAGCATTATCACTAGCGTTAAAATACATAGTACTCAACAAATCTACACTTGAATTATTACTTTCGAACTGTAGAAATACTGTACTCTTTCCTCAAAAAGGTCTTATTTCTCAATGAAATTAAAATAGGCTCAATGAGTCCTTCTCGATGAAAATTTGGAATAAAATAGTTATAACACGACTATGTGCCCAGGTATGCATTTTTAACATTAAATGGACAGCATAAAACAATTAATATATTAATTGGTAATTGATTTCATCTACAGAAGTCTCGCTGAGTGATGCTCATTTTTTTCAAGGGCCTGCAAAAACGCAATTCATGCTTTTTAAATGCATTATTGAAGACACGCAAAACGAAAATTTCGCATTGCAAACTCAGATAACAAAACGTTTCGGCAAAAAAAAAACTCAAATTCGGAAAATTTTGAGTAAACATTTTTAATTTTTCATGAATCAAGAAAGCCGATGAAGAAGGGCATAGTTTTTATCTTCTTGCCCTTGAAATCTGTGACTTTCAGAACATTACGAAGCAGGGGAATGTCAGGATTACTTCAACTTCATTCAGTGCTGATCAATTTTAAATCCATGGTTTTATGCTGAAAAGTTGGATTAACAACCAGTTACCTGGTCTTTGCGGCGATTGGCAGTAACAAATTATACTTGAGGAAAATTTTGTTTCGCATAACAAAAATTCCACATGAAGAAACACATCCAGGAACGGATTAGTTTCTTTACGTGAGGAAGATTTATTTTCTTCAGGGCAAGTGAAATAAGAATTTTTGTTGCTTCAAACATTATCTAAAAAATTGGAAAAGGTAAAGATTAAAACAAGAGAAAACTTTCAATTTTTCAGAGGGACTGAATTTTTTTTAATCAACATCTATGATATGGGTGGAGAACTCTGGCAGTAACTGGAAAGTTTTCATTAATCATGATGCAGTCAATTGGAAAAATGTTTAAAAATCTGAAAAAGCCCCAGAACCTTACATGATCATGGGCGATATAAAATTTTTTTTACAGTCATACATACTCACGAAATAACCGAGGTCATGCCTAAGTGGGGAAACCCTCGTAGAATTCTAAAAATATATGAGAGTACACAATCTTCGCAATGAAGTACCCAATAAAAAAATAAGGCTGTAAAACAGACACTGCGACGAGACGAGCTTCTAACCTTGCTATCAGCTCTTTCAGATGCAATTGACCCGCAACAGCCATCACTCCCAACAAATACTTCTCGTCAGAGTTGGAGCAAAAGTCGATCTCGTCGGAATACACCCACTTCATTACCCCGTAACCCACTCGTTGTGGCAAGTGACTCAGATCCACGGTTTCTGTCGTTGAAGCCGCATCGTTCTCGGCCTTCATCAATGATGCCCACACATCACTTCGCGCTGCAAGCACGAACTTGTGACCACGAAGCTTGACGTCATCCCCAATAAGGATATTCATGTCACTGTAACAAAAACACATGCGCTCCAATCAATTTAGTTTCTAGTATATTGGACACTGTCAGGTACAATAAAGAAGAGCAATTGAAATGATCAATTAAAAAATCGCATATACATACGGAGATAGAAAAAATAATTCTTACTGCGTGAGGTTTTTTTTGAGCGACACCTTGCAATAAAGAATTTTTCCTCAGCTTGTATCTCTAAAATCTAAATGCTCAGCATAAATGGCTACAGCAAAAAAAAAAACCGTAAACAATTCGACATTTGAGACACCACGCACTTCGCCGATTTTTCATGATCTCAGTTCACTAGAAGTTGGAAAAATTGACATCAACGCTGACGAAACGGCACGCCTTTCAGCTTCAAAGAAAGAAAATATGAATACATCAAAATGTCCTTCTACGAGGAATTTTCTCTACAACAAAATTTGGGGAACCAGAAAAAAAAAATCGTCATTAAACTAAATGATGTGGGTAGAGGGACAAAAAATAATTGAATAGAACATCATTTCACAGAAAAAAAGCAGTCTACCCGTATCAATCAAGCATTCACATTCCAATTACCGTGGCAGAATTTCAACTCATCAATGCTGATATTTAACTTCGACATTTCTGGGAATGGTCTGTACTATAAGCGTCTTTCAACACTCCAGAAGTGTTTCAGTGCATTGAATGAAGCTGGAAAATTATACAGGTGGACTCTTTCCACAACAATCTTGTGTACAGTGATTATCTCTGCATAACAAATCTTCATTTGATCCCATGGGGTTCTCTTCCCATGTTATAGTGGTACTCTGCAACACATTTTTGTCCGGTCTCTTGAATTTCGTTGTAGGGAGTGTCCACCTGCATTACCATTAAGTATTTGATCATCTGGCCATTACACGCGAATGATATGTTCATTATGATTCCCTTCAAGATTGTACGCCAACAAAAATCACGGTTGGCACCCATGTCTTCGTCGATGACGTTCGTGCGAAAAATTGAAAACCTGGCCTAAATTAAACAGGTCTCACTTTCGGGAATTTTGCTACATTAAAACAAACGAAGAAATCATTTACGAGTATCTCGGAGAGTCGAACAAGCCCCTGACGATCGCCAGCAGCCTCCCAGGAAAAGAACTCTTGGCATCGTTCTGCGACGCGACGAGGCTGTGACGCTTTTGCAGATCAGCAAGTTTCTCTTGTAACTTCAAGTATTCAATCCGAAGTAGTTGCAGGTGCTGATTAGTTTTTTCAAGTTCTGGCAACAGAAACACATTGCTCGTCACTTTGGCCCATCAACATAAACGGTTTACAGTTTCGGATGCTCAAGCATAATACTTTTCAATTCACCTGTGGCACTGCTTGAAACGGTTGGATGCGGCGCAGAGCTCATTGCTTTAAAAAAACAGAGCCGCGCGACGAACTTGAACGACCAGTTTTGAAATTGACAAAAAGTTCACCCTGAGGAGAAAAACATCATCTCAAGTTCAAAAAGTATGCCCACGTCATCGACATACAGCACATCTCAAGGTTTCCAGAAGTTGGCAAAAAGAAAATTACGGAGATTTGGAGAGTCTAGTACAGTATAACCATACTGCCGCATCATTTCAATGCGGATTGACTCCACGCGATAAGTGTACATTACAAAAGAGTCCACAAGCGCTCAACACCTGATTCATTAATAGTTGCAGAGAAGCAATTCGTACATCAGCTCATCTAACCAAGATTGCTTCAAGGAAGTTACTGTTTGACACGTTGACTATTCAACGGAACGGAATATAATCAATTTCAAGAAGGGAAACGCCCAAAAATTTCTTCCGACCACCAGCAGAATTCATTTAATTTCACACGCCCAGAAACACCTCAGGACCGATAGCACAACGCAGAATTTCGGGGCAGTCAAATTCCTCGCCAGTCCTTTGAAGGATAGTTTCACGGTTGCATGTCAGGGATTGCCATCTACTTGAAGATTTTCCCTTGGTTAAATTTTCGGCCTTCCTTGTCCGCGCCTTCCCAACACAAGTACTGCTTCAACAGGTCCTTCGTTTCCTGTGCTTCAGGATCAAGCTTCTTCCATTCGTAGGTTTCATAATCCACTTGCCAATCAGGTGAAAGCTGAAAGATATGTTGGGAAAAATGTCTATGAATGTTTTAAAGTTAAAATTCTCGGACTAAGAAAAAAATCCGAGGAAAACCAGTAAATTCGTTGTGAAGACTGGCGATTCGAAAATCTTAACTCAACAAATCAAACTATTTCAACACAATTCTCAAGTAATCTTATTTATTTTTCAACTAACCTTCCATAGGAATTACAATTTCCCAACAAAGGCCAACTAATGTAACTATTTAAACATGATGACGAACTGAACATTATCAAATACAGTATGTTCAATTTAAGTTCGATATGATGAACCTGATTAGAAGTAGTCAAATGTTAGGGGAGTAATAGAGTTCCCTAAAAATGCTCTCGCAAACATTCGCACAGAAGTACGAACCTCAAACGCTAAATCTTGGCCACGCCAGAACCAAACGCCGGAAATGGTCGAGTTATTGTTCTCTCCGAAAAGGCACACTGATCCAAAAGCATGCTTTCTCATTTTGTCCAGGCGCTGGAACATCCCTGAATAAATAATTAAATGTGCACATTTGAAACAGAGACACAGAAGAAAAACTTGAAAATTTTCACATACCGGTGATGAGGTTGCAACTCATGAAGACCTGCGTAAGTTCTTTAGCATACTTGTATTCCCCAAACCAGATCGAGTAGTTTTCCTTGTCGAATTTCTCCCAAAAGTACGGCACGGACTTTGCTTCGTCTTCATTGGAGTAGAATCGCTTGAAGTCGTCCATATCAAAGGTGCCCTTTGGCATTGCGGCAAAGGGATCTTTGGATTTTGGCTCTTCCGCCAATGCAAGCTCCGTTTCGTCGAGGTCTTCTTTCGGCTCTGGTTCTTTGGGGGCAGCTTTGGGTTTCGCTTCCTTCTTCTCCGCAGACTTTTTCTTGTCTTTCTTCGAGCTTGGTGCATCACCCTCGCCGCCTAATTTTCCTTGAATTTCAGCGAATTTCTTCGCGTCGAATTCTCCCATTTTGGTACACAGCTGGAAGTTTCCTAAAACTGGTTTCACTTGGCGTTGGTTGATGATGGTGTTGAACCACCGATTGACATTCTGGTATGGCGCCCTGGGAAAATGGGTAAAAAAGTACAATAGTTCAGAATGCGATCCGACAAATTTTCATGACAAGAAATCGAATTGAGGAAAAATCAACCCAGAAAAGGAGAAAATTATTCGACAGTACACTCAACATCGGTAGACACACGAAATGTCCTACCTGAAAGCGGGATCCAACACGTTCTCGTAAAGCGACAACATTGTGCAAGCAACGACGATGTCCGCCAAAGTCACTCGTTCACCAACCAGGTAAGTGTGAGTGAGCAAATGTTGATTGAGGTGGTTGAGGGCTTCTTTGATCGTTTCCTTCGCTCTATCCGTATTCTGCTTGTTGTGTGCCATTATGCCAAGAACAGGGAAAACCCACGTACATGCTGCTGGCAAAATTTCGGAATCGGCAAAAGAAATCCATTGCAAAATCTGAGCTTCCTTCGTCCTATCCTTGCCCCCACGGAGTTCGTCGTTCGCAACGAAATATGCAATAGCGTTGCTTTCAACGAGATGAGTACCGTTGTCAGCTTCAAAGGCTGGAACCTAACACCAGGAATACTTACTTCATATCCATGGAAAATTTTCAGAAAAAACTTACTTTCCCCAGAGGAAACTTCTTCAAAAATGCAGGGTCGCGATTGGTTTCTCCGAACACGAAGTTTTCAGCAACCTTCAAATCAAAGCCCGAATATCTAGCAGCAATCTGAGCCTTGAACGCCCTGAAGTTGTCAGGATAGGTGTACAACGTCTGCAATAAAAATCAATGGGTAAAAGGGTACATCGAGAAGTACAAGAAATAAGTAAGGCGATTTCAACTTACGCCGGAAGGCATTTTAATGATGGCGTTCTGCGGTCGACGAACGATTTCTGAAAATAACAAAACTATACTTAGAACTTGAGAAATCCTCTCACAATGCCGTCACAACATGTCTCCAAAGATTCAGCATGGAACTTTTTCGTAAAACATGATTCAATGTATTGATCCTTTCACAATAATTTCATTCATATCACTGTACACCGGAGTTTTCAGGATTCCACACGAGAGACGTTTCACACTTCCTCAGACTTGCTAGCGGTTCTACATATATGTAACGGTAGGTCACTTGGTTCCCTTGGGCGGACTGCTCATGGATGTTCACACGGTCATGTCGTCCAGGAAGTTAAAAATCTCTAATTTTGAATGTCGCACGGGGACAAGCTCAGCTGGCATCATCTTCGACTTGCACCAACTGGGCCGCAAGAATCATCCGCAGAGGTGGCAGCCATGACAACTGTCAGATGCTTTGAGGTACTGTACTTCGCTAGAGATTTTCTGGCAGTACATTTTACTGTACTGTACAGTACTGTACATATTTTAGTATTTTTTGTGCAATACTGACAAGTTTTTCCCATGACGTGACAGGTTTGTATCTTCAGTTTACCTTAGTTTCGATCAAAGCTTGTTTTTTCTAAAGCCCTTTAAACCAAAATCGCATCATCACTGAAAAGCGGGTAAGACTTTTTCAGATGGACGCATTTGACGACAGAGCCTGTGGATGCGCGCACGTGCACGCAGTCGTGATAGTTCTTGGAAGGAGGGCAGATGGAAGAGGTCTGTGCGCGGAATTCCGCGGTGCGAATTTTGTTTCTTGCCTGTGCAGATTGAGAATTCGCTGTTATGTGATGGAGTCAGCTGTGTTTCTTCTTTTCGCGTGTGCTTGGTGTGACCCTGACGTGCGAACTGGGTCTGAAAAGCGTTCTACAACCCATGAATTGAACA